AATGATGGATGTTTCGACCATGCCAGTCATGTACTTTGAGATTTATCAGCTTGGAAAAGTTCGTAATTAGCATGACTACAAACTAGAAATCGGCACGTCGTATATGTGACGTCACTAGATAATCTCCTCTCCTCTAACGTAGCTGCTACTTACCAAATGACCAGATTTATGGTGGTTCTTTCCTCCTGTGGGAAATTTGCTGACCTTACAGCCCTTTTCCCTCAGTTTTCTCCGTGTCTGGTTTGATGACGTCACTTTTGTGAAGTGCATTTGTAGTCCTGGACTTGTTTTAGCACAAAACCTAAAATAGCGTTCCCCCATGTTCGAAAATAAGCACGTTGTTGATACCAAAATGCTTCTTTAAAATTCACGGACATTATATGTGAAATCCATGGTACAAAACAAGCTGAATTCGAAAATAGCGTTTTTAGTGCCATTGACTTGCATTCATTTTTTTGTTCTTCCGGGGACCCATGGTGCAGGAGTAAGTAGGCATGACTTAGGCTCCCTATGGAGCAGGGCCAACCAACCAGTCTCTCTTGCCCTCAGTGACACTGATGTAGTGGTACCTAACGTACTACACTACTTGGCACAAAAAAAATTCCACCACCTGGATTTAACTGAGCAAATAGGTATGTCTCCTATTGGATAATTACTGCATGGGCAATTATACTTCAGCTGGTAACAAATTATTTAACCCCAACTGGAGCAATGAGTTTCTTCTTATTTCTTAACCATGTGGAAAGACACATCTGGTAGTCGTGGAAAAGATGTTAGTCTGTTTGAGAACGGTCAGATTATTGACATGCATCTAGCAGAGAAAACATCTAAGGAGATTACAGAAACAACTAAAATTGGGTGAAGAACTGTCCAACGCATTATTAAAAACTGGTCTGACGAGTCCAGGTGGACCCTGCTCAAGACTGATGGGTGCATCAGGGTAAGAAGAGAGCCAGATGAAGTGATGCACCCATCATGCCTAGAGCCTACTGTACACGCCTGTGGGGGCAGTGTTATGATCTGGGGTTGCTGCAGTTGGTCAGGTCTAGGTTCAGCAACAGGATGTGCTTGGGATAGGGCTAGAACAAACAATTATTTGGATCATCGATTAATTGGATGGGGTCTTGACTCAATCAATAAATCACTAGCCTAGTGAACTAGACCAAATTCTTGCTTTGCCAAGTTTGGTCTAGGAACGCTCCATTGGAACCTCCGCAGCCCCTAGCAGCATTCTGGCTGGCCAATCAAAGTTCTCTATAGGGGTTTCAATTCTATAGAGCATCACAGCATTCTATCTGCATTGTGGACCAAAGTCACCGCTTTATACGCTTTGTGGGCCAATCAGGGCCCTTTATTTGTCTGGTGGGTGGGATGATACAACAGAGTGGAACAAGATGGCGACAGCTAGTTTGGAATGGATTTTACATCTATTTTGGACAAATTGGACTTGGGCTTTATTAGAATCAGGAGCAGATACTTGTATTTTTTTTTTTTTTTTAGAAAAAAGGATGTATTTCCACCTTCTTCAATTGCGGACTGCCTCATTTACCAACATCGGTTGCGGTGAGTACATCACTTTGTTCATTGTCCAGAAGCATGCGGCAATTGTTTGAAAGACAACGATAGAACCTGCTCCACGACCAAGAGCCGACAACGGAGCGTTGCCAGACTCAATGATATATTTATTTAGTCTGGCTTGCCAGGCTAGGATTAAATGGGAATTTTTAAAAACTGCCAGCGAAACATTTTTTCTCTCCCTCCTTTAATAGCATGCTATCAACTAAATATATCCATAATTAAACAATGATCAGTAAAATTGTATGTATTTCATTAACATTACATTAACATGTAAGCTACTGGAAATGCTAATAACATTTAATTTCTACAGCTCAGTGGTATAGTGGTATTGTCCACCCTGGACTGGGAGATCGAGGGTCAATTCCAGGTGGGGTCATGCCAAAGACTTTAAAAAGGGGACGCAATGCCTCCCTGCTTGACACTCAACTTTAGTGGTTGTATAGGGGGGTTAAACCATTACATTATTCCTGAGTGCAGCCACGGCTGCAGCTCACCGCTTCCCTCCATGGGGATGGGCCAAAAGCGGAGAAGAATTTCACCAGTGTGTGATGATGACTATGGGACTTTAAAATGTAATGGTGACACACATTTTATGTACGGGTTATCAATAATCCCATTTAAATTATATTCGCAGATAGACACGTTTATGAATTACATGCTACAGTGGCTTGCCATACTCCTGCAGCAGTGTTGAGCAGAGCAGACCTGAAGCAACAACCTGACGGCAGCGGCTATGCTCCATAGCGCTGCAGTCAGCTAAGAATAAACAGGATGATGGGGGCTTTTCTTCAGCTTGAGTTAAGATATTCTTAGTTCCACAACCATTGTTTTCTGGGAACCTCACTTGACTTGATCGTGAGCCTGCTACCTGCTAGCATTTGCTAATCTGCCCATAGTTACTTTAGATCCCAAAGTTTGGACGGTTTCTGCCTTTGTGTTTTTGCTGGTTTCTTTCTTTTCTTCCACAGCATCTAGATTAGCACATTGTGCATCAGTGAAAAGCATCTTCCTTACAAACTAACCAGCAACTTACCTTTGTTCAAAAGTTCAGGGCAAAAAAACAACTTTAAAAGATGTTACACGAGTGCTACGTCTAAAACTGTTTATCGCACGTGCCTCATATACGTCTCTCGTTCTGATCTGCCTCGGTCTGCTCTGCTGCCGCATACAGATGAGCTGCACACATTGACTGCTACATAAAGGTTGCATGACACTAAGGCGATGGGACGAATGAATCGGCCATCGGCGATGGGCTGAGCCGTTACGGTAGGTTTTTTTTTTACTGGAGGCGATTTGTTTATTTATTTATTAGGCCATGAGTTTGTTTGCTATTGACAAATATTTTACACGTTACACACAGAGAACATCGCAGAGGTAACAATCAAGAAAAGATCTCCATCAGCGCATCTGAGCCTTTTCTCACCTCCTCCTCTTCTCGCTGCTGACAGTGCGCGCACAAGCAGCGCGCTGAGGAGGAGCTCGGAGAGCGCCTGTGACACACTCGACATCGTGCACAACAGTGCATTGTTGTTGTGGGTCAGAATTATATTAAAAAAAGAGCAGACGGAAAATGCTAATATTTATAGTGGGGGAGTGGGGGGGGGGGGGCAAATGTTTGTGTGCAAATGTTTGTGAGGGGGTGTGATTGGTTTCCAGTTAACCGGCTATTAACTGTTAAGGGGCGTCAATAACTGGTTAAAGAAATTTTGGAAAACGTGCATCCCTAGTATGTGCTCCAAGAATGAGGTCAGCTGACTACCTGAACATCCTGAATGACCAGGTTATTCCATCTTCCCTGATGGCACGGGCATATTCCAAGATGACAATACCAGGATTCATCAGGCTCAGATGGTGAAAGAGTGGTTCAAGGAGCATGAGACATCATTTTCACGCATCGTTTTGTCACCACAGAGTCCTGACCTTAATCCCATTGAGAATTTTTGGATGTACTGAAGAAGGCTTTGTGCAGCGGTCAGACGCTACCATCATCAGTGCAGGGTCTTGGTGAAACAATAATGCAATACTGGGTGGAAATAAATCTTGAGACGCTGCAGAAGCTTATTGAAACAACGCAACATTAAATGTCAAAGCTAAAGGCAGTCCAACGAAATATATGAGTGTGTGACCTTTTTATGGGTCAAGCAGCATATTTATGTGCTGCTAAACAAAAGTTTTGTTTAAGAATTTATTCCAGGACTGGACAACATCTCAATTTTTTTTTAAATGTTGACATATTATAAAACAAGATAGAAGATGATGCAGTAACATATAGACATAATTGTTTATATAAACTTGATATTTCATATTTATATGGAATTATCACATCTTATTGATCATTTAACACAGATGCAGCCAATCCTTAACACTACAATCGCTAGCTTGCTGGTTCTCCGTCTCCGACTACAAGTAGTCATAAGTAGTAATATATTCTTACAAGTACGGACAATTGTAGGCAAAAAAATAAAATAAAATAAAAACTTAAGAGAAAATGTGTTCTCTAGGGGGAAAAAAGCTGAAGTTGTATTTCTAGCATAACTTTTACATAAACTCACATAAATTGTCACAAAAGGATATAGGTGAACATGAGCTGAAGCTCAGAATTATTTAGCTTTTTCAGCATGTTTGTTTTGCCAAACCAGAGATTTCTAGGGTTGCATGTCTTGATGATTGCTACTTTGTGGGTCTGAAGCTGAAAGGTTTGAGAGCCACTGTGTCAGTTAAAGCATGACAGAGACCACAAAACAAAACAGACAAAAACTTGAGTGGGACACAAGAATGTACAGCACCTGCCACAGAGCGCTGGGCGAAGCTGGAGGTAAATTCCCTCTTACAGAGTATGTGGACATAAAAAGGACCACATTGGATCTGAACTTGATTTTCTATGTTGTTGGCCACAGGAAACGCTCAAAGACAGCTTCAAGAGCGAGGGAATGAGAAGTCTGTTAAAGTTAGTTGGGAAAGTCACTTGTCCAGCAGAGGTGTCGGCTAAAGCACAAATCCAAACAAAGCTGAAACTATTCTTCTAATGTGATTAGTTTCAGATAAGGTGTTAGGAGTTTCTTAAGAATGAGAATAAGCCTGCATAAATGGTTAAACAACACGTAAAAGCTTTGAGGCAACATTGGCTGACATACATCGGCGGCGCTTCCACCAAGTAATGCCAGTACGACATTCTGCACAAAATACAACGATAAAAAAGTTAAAACTTATTTAATTGTGTGTTGAGCTGTCCTGAATGCAGGTTAGGTTGTGCTATAAAAACAAAAGGAAAAAGCATCGCAACTTTCTGTATTCATCTGCCACAAACCTTTAAATTTAATTTACAGGGTGATCGCTGACCGTGTGTGTGTGTGTGTGTGTGTGTGTGGTGTGTGTGTGTGTGTGTGTGTGTGTGTGTGTGTGTTCGTTCAGAAGCTACTCACTCTCTCCATCAATTTTATCCGTTCCCCGAGTCCAGATAACAGTCCTAGTCTCCAATTTCACTTGAAAAGTCCTCCTTTCTGGGCGCTGTGATTTTTTAGAATAAAACAGAGTCAGCACAGTGCCCAGCTCCAGATCCCGGCACAGACTGTTCTCCTCCGCGTGGTCCGTCCACGGAATAGGTCCATTGGAAAAGAAGCCTGAGTTTCCAGCCATGTTCACTTCCCCTGTTTGTTTTACGTTTCCTCTTAGAACAATCTGCTCAGTCCGGGCCTAGACAGGGTTACCTACAAATGAGGAGGAGAATCCATGAAAATGCCCCAGTTATGTGTGCACTCTATACAGCTGCAAAAGGGTCAGGAAAAGACAATAATAATATAAGAAAACTGTTGCACACACTTGTACATTTATGTCAGCAGATGTGCAGACAGATACGTTCATCTCTCTGAACAGCTCTCACCTACATTTACAATATTCTCATGCAAACTTACTAAATGTTGCATTGATTTGTTTATAGAATTGTATCTGAATAAATTGTTTTCTTAGGCGACCATTTTTGACTTATTTAGAGCATTAAGAAACAATAATATGCTTTGTACGATTGACATCTTGATGTTTAATCACACAGGCTAAAACATATATAACGCGCATGCATCAAAAATATTTTAATCCATTGAATTTAGATTTTTAAGTACAGATTTTTTATTAAATACAGAGTACAGCACGATTACAGATCATAAAGAGTTACCCGTCAACCATTGGTGTAAATAAATCAGAGATCCGATCTAAACTCCTTAAATAATGATGGATTATTTATTTCACATGTGTCTGAACACATTTAGCTTTTAGGCCGGTGGAAGCAGGTATGCTTATTCTGATTTAAGCGTGTAGAAAAAACCAACAGGCCTGTGAACTGCTGCGGGAAAACAAAAGTTTTGACTCAAATGCATCATTTTGGAAATACGACAGGTGAGAAAAACAAGAAAAATTGGATCGCAGCGTAACATGAAGTGTCTATTAACTATTTTCCCAGCGTGGAAAAAGGGTCCGGTGAGGGCTACCCACCGTCCATTTGGCTGGGCCCAGGAAGAATATGGCTGGCTTCTCCCAAGAAAAAGGACAGGTAGCGGCTTTAATCGTCTCCCTTCTCTCATTTCTTCTCTTTAATGTGCGGAGAACAATTTACAAGAAAAACAACAAAAAACAACAAGCAAAAAGAGCTGTGCTGGAAGTGCCTACCGCAACAATCTCGGCCCGACCGCTACAGCACATCTCCAAAGCCTGCTCTCCTCGTCTCCCGTCGTCTTTTCCCTGCTTCTTTGCTCCACGAGCCCGGTTTCCCGTTATTAAATCATCGCCAGGGCCTCGAACGGCGCTGCTCTCCCAACGACAACAGTTCCAGCAGTTTCCTTTACTCCCCTCCAGTCGTCCATAGAGAGAAACAGGCAAGCAGAAAGCGAACCGTGGCAAGACTACGCAAGTTTGCTCTCTCTGACCAGCTCTATTACTCCCCCCCCCCCCCACCTTCGCAGCAAACCACACTTCCGTTGCGGCCTTTCACAATAAAGCACGCATTCACAGTAAGCATTGTGCAGAAATGAATTTGCAGACCACGTTGCAAAGGATAAACGTAAAGGGGGAAAAATAATAAAACTTGTTCTACTCACAGTTTTGCCACGTTGCTCTTGCTAAATATTTTAACAAAACATGGATTTTATATATTTTTTCTAAATTCGAAGCAATTTTTGATACGCATTTTCTGTTACGTCTACAGTGAGTTATAAGAATAAAATTATCAAGTGACATGGGTCAAATCACCGTATAGCAAAACATCCCATTCAATGCCATCCTTATTTCGCAAAAACAAGACAAAACAGTTGTTCTGTCTTTTTTTCTTTTTTCAGTCAGATTTGACATATTTTCTTTTTAGTCTTTATAGTATTTACACAAACTTGCGGCGGTTTTCACATTTTCACTTCGTGTAATTTAGCTTTAAACCTTTTATAAGCAGCCATAATATTTAAATGTGGAGCCACTTATAATTTCATAATTTACACACTTTATTTATTTGACATATAAACTTGTAATCTACATCTGTAGGCATTAGACAAACTCATATATAAATCTTTAGTGACACACGAAGTCATGCTTTTGTACTGAAGTCAATTAAGAAACTTCCGGGAATTCCTTGCAGTAACAACGTGAACTTGATTATTCTAAGGAGTACCATCTCGACTATTCAGGATTAGATTTTTATTCTCAACCTTAATCACAATATCAGTCCGTTAACTTTATAATTATTTTCTCTTCACTTTCATTTTTAATGTATTTATTAGTTTTTCATTGAAAACCCACCAAAACAGAGATTAAATAGGTGAAAGTGGAATTAGTATTGGTGATTGCTGGACTTTGACCCTGTTGGTTGAATAGCTGCTGATTATCTCATCGAAGAATGTTATTTTTTCTGTTTTTATCTCTGACCATATATCTGACCACATGTAAGCAAATAAAACGACAAACAAAAGACAAACAGGACAAAGTTGATGTTTTATTCTGAAAACTACAAAGCTCAAAAGAACAACAGCTTTGAAACAATGCCAAGATTGTGTCTAAAATGATTTAATAACAAGAAATATTGATGACAAAAGTTAGAATATCCATTTATGTTAAGAAAATGTTCTAAGACAAGTTCTGCTTTATCATAACAATTTAAAAAAACAGCACACAACAAGGGTAGATGATGTGATTTTTTTGGCAATCTCCACACCCCTCCATCAGAGAGAAGAGTCTCCTTTAGCTTCAGGACACAAAACATATGCTTCAGCTTAGGCATGCCGATGGGGGGTCTGTAGGAGGACTTTGGGGGGGGGGGGGGGGGGGGGGGGGGTTAAAAGAGCGGGGGAAAAGGAGGAATCCTGGTATGGGGGCCCATCTAATATTATATCGTCCCGGGCCCAAGCAAGGCTTTCAGCTGGCCTGCTTCAGTTATTTCATGTAACCAAGATCAACGTTACGCCCTGTTTGCTGTAAAACTGTGGAAACACACACGTGCTCAGGAGCTGCACGTGAAGAGCTTTTTGTTGAGGATGCATACGGCACGCATAAAAAAAAACAATCACTGAAAGGTGACAAAATCCCTGAAATAAAAACTCAAGACTGCATGGATAAGAGACAACATTCGGTGTGCCTCCACACTGCCTCGCTCTTACTATCCCAGTCAAACCATTGCAGCTGAAAGTCACCCCATCCTCACCTTTCATGATGTTCCTAGCAGTCTTCCACACACAATAATTTATTATTCTATGACAATATTAGGTTCTTCCAATAGATCTGATGGCTTACAAATCTTAGAACATGTCATCTGACACAACATAATACTAATGTGTTCATACTTGTGTGGATTACAGTCAGATAGCTCCTGCTACATACACAATACTAAAAAAAAAGGTTCCTAAGGAGATTTACCTCATGGCAATGTGTAGTGAAGCGAGTTTTCTCCTGTACACAGCCAGTCAGTATTTACAGCAGACTTATTAACCTGTGATCACAGCTTAAGTGCAGTCCTGGTTTCTTCTTCCACTTGCCACGCCACACAGTGAAAACATCATGACATCAGCTACAGACCACCCTTACAATCAAAGGCCTGGGTAGAAATGTAAAAACACCAAGTGCGGTTAAAACTCGTAATCCTTTTCAGCCATGTCGATCGCCCAGGCGAACTTCTCCCTCTGGGTCTTGTTGTAGATCTTTTCAATAGGGATGCCATACTTTTTACACCTGGACAGATGAAGACATGAATCAAAAGGGATCACATGGAAGGTCCAATGTCAACAGAAAATACCAAGATTCAAAAACATTCTAAAGTTAAAGCAATTTCCTAGGGGTGGTCACTGCCACCCCTGGCCACCCCTTGGAGGCACCACTGCTGATCATCACTTGTGAGTCCAATTCTACTAAATCAGGAGTTCTGGCAGCTTGATTTTATGGAGTATACATGTGTGTGTTAACACAATGCCCAGGATTCTCAGAAGGGAAATCCAAATAATCCCAATTCTACAGTACAGGAGATGAACCCGTTTTGGACCCGTCATCTCTTTTGCCCCCATTCTCACATGTCCTAAACTGAGCGCCAGGTTCCCATGCACCGCCCTGTTTGAGGGAACCCCATCCCTCACACTGCAGCCAAGACAAGCACAGAACATTCCTGCAGTCATTGTGCTCGAGGACAAGATTCTCCCAAAATAGCGGTGGGGCATCAGTGATGGAGGGCACTCCTCTGTTTCCCTCCTCCTCTGAGCATGGCCCTGCGTTCAGCCACAGGCTCCCTACATGGTGGGAGGAGTGCTGTTTGGGGACGCTTCCAAGCTCGCAGAAACAAACTCCATTGTTCCTGGTGCTCACACGCTTTTCTTCCTCTCATTTTCCTTCTGCAGCCGTTAGCTTTTTTGCTTCTGCTGCTCCTTTTCCGACAATGCAAGGTCATTTCCTGCCTTTCTGTCATCAGGGTGGCCCCACACGCCCAGCCACGCCGGGACGGCCACCTTGTGCAACAAATGCGAGCAGTTTTACAGCTTCTTTACCTTGTAAAATCTCACACAAGACAGCGGTAAACTATTTATGCCGTGGAACATAAATACCAGGCAACAGAGATGCGTGGATCCAGGTAGTTGAGCTTGGAGGTTCCCAGAGCAATCTGCTTGTTCTCCTCTCGGTCTGTAGCTTGTACCTGGAGCTTCATCAGCTGCTCTTCTATCCTTTGTACAGCTTTACGCTTCACCTCCACAGTCCTGAGAGTAAAAAAACAGATCAAATCCAGACTGAATAAGGATTGAGTAATAAAGTAGGGAAAAAGACACTGACAAAAACACGTAAATAAACCAAGATGAAGACTCATATCAACAGAAACATAAAGAATACACAAATGAGCGTCGGAGAGGAGATAGTTACATGAGAGAATAATAGATCTGAGCACTCAGACACTCTTACTTTTTGCTCTTTTCATCATGTGAAGCCTTGTGATCGGCTTTAGCGGCCTTCAGCTGCTTCCTAGCTGTAGATAGTTGCTTTTCCTTCTCATCAATCTGCAATCACAAACAAAAGGCTGGATTAGTAAAATAATGATTTTGGACACGTTTGTTTTCACTAGAGGCTGACCGACATATCGGCTGGCCAATATATCGGGCCGATTTACTCAATTTGTTTCCATATCGGCAAAAATAATTAAAAAAAATCAGGCACCCGTGTGGTCAACTGCCGCACTAGTAGACTGAAGACAGGACCTGAAGGACCCCAGCACACTTTTTTTTTAAGTTTGTTTTATATTCTTTAAAAGTCGGTATCAGCTTTAAAAAACCCATATGGATCGGCCTGTAGTCTTCACAATGAAAGCAAATAAATAAAGGAAGGTGCAACTCAGCAGCTCACTTTGGTCTGAAGATTCTGCATGGACTTCTCAAATGTTTTGGGTGGTGCTCTCTGGTGGTTACAGAGAATGGCCACAGCTCGGTTGGCTCGGTTGTAAGACAGGATCTTAGCCGGGATGCTGTCATCCGCTGTAGAAGACAATAACAATAACAACATAATAACAGATGAGAGGGTGAGCTTTCCATGACTGAAATTTAAAATATATTATTTAATAAAATGAAACATTTAAATGCGAAAAAGCTACAAACCAAATGCAACAGGTATCTAGTCTGTTAGAGATGAATGAATGAAAGGGGTGTGACTCACGGCAGGTGAGCTCCTTCAGCTGCTGCTGTAGGGTGATCGAGGCATTGTAGGTACGAAAAACTTTGGCTGTTAGTCCATCCATCAGTTCCTGTAAGTGCTTATTCAGAATGGAAGTCTAAGAGAAGAGAACAACAATGAGGCTACAGATGAAGCAGAGTAATAAACGTAAATAATTTAGCATTTCAGTGCAATTCTTACGTTGAGCCTGTCAAAGAGGTCATCTTCAGGTTGTTTGTTCTCCAGGAACAACTGAAGGTTTTTGAAGACCTGATGATAAACAAACACAAAACAATTAAGATGAAGGCACGGTCCCATTTCTGCCACAAGGGGGAGGGAGTTAGCTGGATGTGCTAAGTGTGCTAAGTGCTATAGTAAGCCCAGGTGTAGATTTTAGTCTTGGGTTTCTTAAGCCGGATGTACACTGTGCGACTTTCTCACTCGTAGCACTCAGCTTCAGCTCAAACTGTACGACTTCCTCGCAGGGCAGATCTCACGAGTCATGTGCTCACACTGTACGACCCAGTTCTCTGAAGCGACCGGACTGCTCACACTGTACGTCTGGTAGCAACATGTCAGACCTAAAAAAATATGCTAAAAATAGCAGATTTTACACAACACGTCAGACTTTTTTGTCTTGTTTTGCCTGTTGTCCTTCGGGAGTGCTGCAGGAGGACACACAGGGATTTATGGGGGTTGGATGAGGAAAACAAAATAAAGAAAGTAAATCTGTGTTTTGTGATCAGTTTAATTTCACAAGAACACGACAAACACGCTTTCTTGACAATCCTTGTCATTGTGCGTAAAAGACGTGTAGAAATAAAAACGAACAGCGTGTGTTATTAGGGAAATAGCAGGTGAGCGGTGTTGATGCATGATTGCGCATGCGCCGTGAACGGTTCTGGTACTTTTTGGGTCGCAGCTGCTCGCTGTGCCACTTCAACAGTGTGATATCCTCACGAGGAACAAGCAAAATATCAAACACGCCAGAAGTCTGTGCGAGCTCACGATTGCTGATCGGTAGCTGGTCACATGGTGTTAATTGCCTCTCGTAACCCCCTGTACACTACACGACGCTCAGCGCAAAACTCGCCCTGATCTCGTGGATTCTCACACGAGTGGAAAATCGGCTCAAAAGTGAAAAAGTCGCACAGTGTACGCCCGGCTTTAGAGGAAAAGAAGGGAGGCTGTGTCATCAGACAAACAGCAGAACAGAGGACTTGTAGTTAAAATGTGTGTAAATGAGTGTGTGTGAGCGTGTGTGTTTGGTTGCCACTAATAGCAGGAAACTCTGAGGGGGCGCTGACGGAAAGAGTTCTGTATGTGATCACATGCCTGTGAAAACATCCTTCATAATAAAGACTTCTTATCTGATTCAAACTAAATTCTTGTAAACAAACACTGAGCCTCCATTAAAGCATAAATCCTACGCTTCCACTCTTTCCAGTAGGTTGCTCTATTATTTTACCCTTGTGGTTTTTTTGTCTTACCCTTTTCTCCACAGGCATTTTGTTGTAGTAGCGGATAGAGTCTTTCCCCAAAAAATCTAACTCTACCACAAACTCCTGGTCGTTTATCTTGGGATGTAATTTAATGTGCTCCACCCGCAGCGAGCAGCAGCCGACAGTGTCCGCTGTCTCGCCCTCCTCTTTCTCATTCCCTGCCCTCAGAGCGAGCTGCAAAAGAAACACAAAAATACACTCACCATCAGGATAAGACTTTTGAAACAACTATTTGAAATCCTGAAAGCCACAGCGTTCCTAAAAGGAATGCACATTTCATGCCAGAGTTTCATATTAAAATCCTTTTATTTTGAAAAATGATGGAGCTACTGACCTTTTGGTCAAACTCTGAAAATAATGTTATGTGTTATTTTTCTACATCACAATATCTTTGTGACTTTTTTGCACAAAATCGATAAAATCGACAGAGTCATGTCATATTTGTATTTGCTGAAGTTAATTAGCTGTGGCGGCCATCTTTAATTGTGTATACTCCAAAAGTGAATCAGTTATAGAGATGGTTCTTGGGCAATAATTGGTTACTCGTGTTTTGGAAGAAGTTTTAATCACCTTGTCAATAAAATACAGAGCCACAGCTCTCTGTCTGATCCTCATCTCCTTTGACTTCCAGTCGTCTCTGTACTGAGTACGAATGCGATCGACACACTTCTTCAAACAGCGGGCAGTTTCATATTTCTGCCAGTCCTTCTCCCCCTGCACACAAACACACACGCATACGTAAAGACAGACGGACACAACGGGCCAGTGGAAGCTGGATGTATGGGACGACAGCTACCTTGATCCTGGAGCTGGGGTTCAACATGATGTACTTAATGGAGCCCTGGATGTTCTCGGTCCACGATGCTAACCAGGTCACCTTGTTGTCATGGCGGACCTCTTTCCACTTAGAACCTGGGGGAGGTTTAGGCTGCTTGGAGTCCCTGTAGGACAAGAGTTTGTTTTACTGAAAACAACATTCTTCTGACTCTGCCAAGATTGTAGTTTTATCGCTACTTACAGGTGCAAAAATCACCAAATGCAGGCAAATGTCACTATTTGACCCTCTAATGAAGCAGTCCAAGTAACCTTAGTGCTGCAGCTCTGCCGCTGACAGTATGTGGGGATCAACACGTCCTCCCTGGGTTGTCATTGTTTGCTCAGATACGGGAAGACTACCTTTGACATGATGCCAACTGTGTGTGTGTGTGTGTAAATGTCACGTTGTGCAAGCTACATATTCAGTTTGCTGTGGCTTTTTATAGCAACTGAATTTCGCAAATTAACTTTCTAACAAACAACTTCACATCCCCCCCCCCCCCCGCCCCCCCCCCAGGCACTGGAGGACTAACATGTGACCAACACAACAGTATAAATAACTCCAGCTATCAAAACGAATTAATCTGATGACACACACACACACACACACACACACACACACACACACACACACACACACACACACACACACACACACACCAGGATGGAGAAGTCAAGTAGGAGCTTATAGAAGCCAGACTTGCTCCATCTTACACCTGTAATTGACCATCGTGTGGTCCTGTAACAGCACTTCCAGCGGTTGGATGGGGCCACCTTGTGGTCCACCTTAGGACCAGACACTCAACACAAGCAGCCTTCTGACAGACTTAATGTTTCCTTCTAAGCAGTGACAATACTGAGAAGGAGATTCCCCACTTGCTACAGTTGATGATGATGTCTTCAGGTCTGATGCGCCGTTTCAGCATCCCCATCTTTGGATGGTCGCCACGACCCCGGAAGAGGCCCGGCGGCTCGGTACGGAAGTTTCCAATCCTCTCCTTGTGGTTGTCCATGATGCAGAAACCGTACTCCTGCAGAAGGCGCTCATTTTCCTCTTTGATTTTCTGCAAATGGTATGAAATCACGGTGACGGAACCCATAATGTTCTAAATGCTCTGAAGTTTCGGAGGATGGAGACTCACCTTCTTCTCCTCCTTTGACATCTGTTTGCGAGCCTCTGATTGGGCCTTAAAGTAGTCATTCATTTCACTGAAGTTACACTTATTCAGGTCTGTGATTATTGACTTCTCCTCTGATGTCATTTCCTACAGGTACAAAGCATTTTAGTATCAAATCTTTATACCTTTACACTTCTTTAGGTTTAAGAGCACTCACCTTCCTCCAGTCCTTGAAGAAATTCTTCCTGAAGACGTCTTTAGTGGAGTACTCATGATCTAACATCTTGGCAAAAAATGTGGCCACCTCCTCAGCTGCAGCGCTAAGTTTCATAATCTTACCTAGAAACACAGAAAGTCCTGTAGTCCTGGCATAAGAATAAAATAATAAAGAGGATCAGCTTCATTCTTATTGCTCACCATCGTAGTAAAATCGGACTTTATTAGGCATGGGCTCGTACGGAGGAGCAAACACTGGGCCTTTATGCTCAAGGAAACGCCACTTGGAGCCATCCGTGTACCTTTCCTCCTCCCACCTAAAAACCAAAGGGCATAAACCACCAGAGACATAAATGATATCAGAGAATCAGCTTTCTGTCCTTAGAATGTCTTTTCCATAAAATGATCTCACCACTTCCATTTTTCCTCCTCCTCCTTTTTGGTTTTCTTCCCATCTGTTGCTTTTTTGTCTTTTGTCTTCTTTTTTGGCTTGATGTCCTTAAAACATAATAAAAGCTGCTCTTTACCCAAAGTCACGTCGAGCTCTGAGAACACAACAATGCACCAAAACACTCAGAAGTACCTCATCGTCCTCATCTTCTTCATACTCATGTTTTCTCTTCTTGGCCTTTTTGTCATGCTCCACTTTGACTTTCTTGGGCTTGTATTCAAACCTATTAAAAGAAGTAATTATAAAGCTCTGTTGTTGACACGAATGCAGATAACCAAGCAGGGATGTTGATTAGATTTGAACAAAACCAACTCTTCATCGTCACGCTCTCGTTTGGAGGCCTTGTTGTGTTTTGGAGACGGATAGAAGCTGTTGTCCTCTTCAGGCTCACTCTTCACGACAACCGGACTCGTCTCTCTGAAGGACACAATCAACTCTGCATCAGTGAAGTAAATCCTAGATTGATAGCTGAGCAACTGCTGCACTCGTGTTAAATCTGATCAGTAGAGCTTTACATGTGTAATCACTTTTACACCACACTGATTACAAGAAAGTGACACGGTCTACCTCATATATCCATTTTCCTTCTCCTTAGGCTTTTCTGAATGGGATGATTGGATCTGTAAAAAAAGTTGCATAATCTCCTTAATGCCTGAAATATAAACAATAATACAAGTTTTAAACTGAGCTATTCATTGTTTATTGTTAATAAAACAACCACATAACAATCTTTTTAATTTCATAATGTAGTTATATAACATTAAAGGGATTCTGTGCAGTATTGCTTGCTTTTAGCACCCCCTAGTGTCCGGTATTAATTCACTGTTTAATCCACCAAAAGCGAAACTTGTCTCCTCCCTGTGCGTTTGTCTTTTAAACACCTTGATCTAACTGCTGAAATGTCTCCTCAGCCTTCATTAGTTTCTAGAGGAGCAGTCCATCACTAAATCAAACAAATCAGCTGTGTTCATGATTTAAACGTGCATGAAACGAGCTGGAAGCAGACTCCAGCTCCACCATGTCAGCTCCCCTCCACTCCACCAGCAGGGAGTGGACTCTGAAGTTGCAAGTGTGATATTCTGGCCTCAGGGGGCGGTGGGGTCCGAGTGACATTTCATTAACTCTTGAAAGGGTCATTTTAGCACATTCTGGCTCAAGAAACTGATTTAAAAATCGGAACACATAGTATCCTTTTAACAGACAAATAAAATGGGTCGGGGCTGCGCAGTGAAGGCAAGAAGGTCCTGGGTTTGCTGCCCAGCCTGGAATCTTTCTGCATAGAGTTTGCATGTTCTCCCTGTGCATGCGAGGGTTCTCTCCGTGAACTCCGGCTTTCTCCCACAGTCCAAAAACATGACTGTTAGGTTAATTGGTCTGTCTAAATTGTCCTTAGGTGTGAGTGTGTGTCTCTGTGTTGCCCTGCGATGGACTGGCTCTCTGTCCAGGGTGTACCCCGCCTGATTGCCCATTGACCGCTGGAGATAGGCACCAGCCCCCCTTTCGACACTACATGGGCAAAGCGGGTTTAGACAATGGATAGATGGATGGATGGATAAAATGGGCCCTTTCTACTTGTAGATCCTCCAGCAGGGGGCAGTAGACAAGTACGGAACTAGAAATGAAGAAGGTACTAATCCTAATTATAGACATGAATACAGAAACCCCATCGGGCGCAAGAGAGCGTAACGGTGTCACCGCCATATTGGATGGGTTCCTCACTCTCCAAACCCAAATGGAGTCAACACAGAGTGAGCAACTATGCCCAATTTTTTGTGTGGCCTACGGTTGCAACAGCTGGTGCGTTATTGAAAATAGATCCTGTGGGATTACTACGACTTTTCTAGCCTACCTGTTGGGATTTTATATTTTAATGTATGTTATTTAATTATATTTATATTTTAGCTATCATGCCATATTATATGTCTGACTTTGTGAAAAAGCAAAATAAAATGTGTTTTTCAGTTGGGTAAACAACTTCTTCAGTAGAAATAAATACACTGGGGTGAATGGAGACCCATCCAAGATGGCAACCAGCAACTACGCCAGCTCAAATAGGCAACACCAGTCCAAGGGGTGCCTATACATATGAAGTCTGTGGTCCTAATACTCCATGTGAATGCTAGAAGTAGTTTGATGCTCATTTGCATAACCAACACAGAACATGAGATCCTGAACCTAACGCTGTTTTCCATATTTGACCACGATGGCTGCAACTTTGTTATTTCTCACCATTAGTTACTAACAGTTTAATAGTCTGGAGCCCTAGGCTTTGATTTTTGTTTTGTTTTTAAAGGAAGAACATCTCTTACTAACACTGAGAAGCCCAAGTGATAAGAGATTTGTTAAATGAAACGTACTCCTCAGATGTTGAAAGAGGAATGAGAGCAGAGAGACGAACCTTGTCCTCTCTCCTCTTGTCTTTGTGTTTGTCTCTGTGCTTGTCTGAGCTGCTGTCGCTGTGCTTCAGCTTCTCTTTGTCTCTGTGTTTCTTCTCAGAGGATTCCTTATGTTCGCTGGAGGACAAAAGGTCAGAGAGGCCAAGTGCAAAGGGTCAGATGGGGTCGGGGACAACAGACAATATCACTGTGAGCTTTGTCCTCATCGTCTTTGTTTAACATCACCACAAGAGTACATAAATGACTGTAATATCACACACCTATCTGTGATTGTTCACCAGGAGACAGATAAAGATAAAACCCACCTATTGATGTGCTTGATTTTCTCTCTTTCCTTGTCTTTCTTGTAATCTTTGTGTCTGTGTTCCTTCTCTTTGTGCTTGTCTTTATGTTTATGAGAGTCTACAAAGGAATGCAGAAATGAATTTGCACATAAAAGAAAACGTGCATCATGTGACTATCAGTCTTCTACATCTATGCTTCCCTGGATAGAGATGCCTTTCTGGGTGAAGTCTCCTCTCAGGTTACACTCTGAGGGCGCTCTAATGAAGCACAACACTTAGCTTTGATAAGAAATGCTCTTGTAAGAACAAGATTTGGAAATAAAATTCCCTGTCCATGTTGCATAATCAAATCAGTGCACTTGGTTTTTTAGAATTACAAAAGAAGAAAATGTGTTATGTCAAATGTCCAGAGTGATGCATCTGAAATAGAGAAGCGACTATGGCAATAGTCCCAAAAAGAGACAATTAATTAAAAATAACATCCCAAATAATAACTTTTATGTCGATTTGTTTGTGTATTCTCAGTCGTCCAGGGCATGATCATCTTGGAGGTTTTTCTAATTTTGCTTGAAGACACTTCGCCTCTCATCCAACTGAAGGAGCTTCTTGGATGAGAAGCGAATTGTCTTCAAGGAAAATTAGAAGTCCAGTTGTTTCCAACTAAACCTTCAAGACTTTTATGTTAAGTTTGACTAATGAGTCATTACAACTGATGACTAAATTTAGAGGCAGATTTTGATCCTGGTCATTACTGGAGATGGAGATCTTTTAAGGAAACAATGATTTCCTAGCATTCAGAAAGTATAATTATCAATCTGTTAAAAAATAATGGAAAAAAAACATATTGGGGTAAACCTTGCATGAAAAGTTAGGTAATGTGGGAAATCTAACTAGCACATATCTTGGAGGTCAGGAGTCTATTGAAGTTAATTGGATTTTTACATTATTTCCCATCAATCGTGCAGGTATTCCCTATCATAAAGATTTTTTTGTGTGTTTAAAACTTAAAATGCTTCTCAAACTCCCAGTGAGTCATGAAGGACTGCTGCTGAAACTCTGTTAAGAGTTCTCTTCTCCAGTCGCTACATGCCTGCTTAGTATGGGGATTGTTGTCAAGTCCCTGACACAACAAGTCATTGAGTCAGTGCCATCTACTGAGTTCCCTATAGGAAACTTATTTCTAATTTTCATAATTAACTGATCTCAATTGGAATGTTTACTTTGTGAAGCCTTGATTGGGCGCTATAAAAGGAATTGAATGAAAACCTAGGAGGACCTGGATCATCTCCTTTTTAGTGATGCATCCTAATTATAAGCCAAATCACTTCACTCTTATTTCTTTGTTCTCCTTGATCTATGTAAGAAATTCAGAGGAACACTAAAAATAAAAATAGCAGCAAATAAAACAAAAAAATTGATAAATTATGATTTAAACATTTTTCTGCATATTCTGTTCATTGATGGATTGCTACATCCTTTATGCTCTCTTACTATTCTCTGCAGAGTCAAATATTAAATATATTGTTAAAACAAACTTGAAAATAACAAATTCAGATGAACTTTTTACTTTCCCCAGTAAACTAAAACTTGAATTTGATTTAAAAAAATATTAATAAGGAAAATCTTCAGAGAAACAAAGGGCAACTTTCTTTAGGGAGTGTACAAATCCCCGTCTGCGTGCTGTTGTCTGAACCAGAGGGCGGAGGAGAGACGCGCTCAGCCCCCAGCCCTCGCCTCCATCACGGCAGACAGCTGGCGCACAGAGCGCAGCGGCGCCCTGGATGCTACACAGAAAAAGAAAATGGCGCAGAGACTAAGTCCTCAGCCCGTATTCGAGCACTTTCGGCTCCACATTTCTCTACACTAGCACAGCCATTTCACCCCAGACAAGCATGCAAAATCAACCCGAGGCCAGGCTCTTTCAGAATCCCCGTCCAGATGAGAAAACCGAGGCTGGCAAATGCACATTTCAGTCCCTCTTTTTGAACAATAGCCGCAAGAGAGTAGAGAAGGGACTTAGTCTCTGGGACGCCATTTCTGTCCTTTAAAAACTAACACATACAGGTACAAACGATGACGAGAGCATTTCTAACAATACAGACCATCAGAACACCTACCGCTTCCTTTTTGGCCACAGCTGACCTGAAAAATGCGACAAAAATATTTTTTATTATTCCAAAATTTAAAATGCCGGTAGCTTGGTTGTCCAAGTTTCAATTGATGGACTACTACACCCAAGAGGAAAAGACAGAATACGAAAATAAAAACCAACGCGGCACGAAATCAAACATTTGTCTCCAAAACTTTAGATTAATACTAGTTTTTTATCTCATCTAACATTTATTGACAATAATTACATGTCCTTACGGCTATCACTTATCAGCTGTTGAGGAATTACTGAAAACGATGACCTGAAACTACCTGAGAGTCTCCGCGTCCATGATCCCCACTCATGATCTGGTTGTTTTTGTTTATTACAGCAGGTAAAGTTCGCACAGTAGACGATTGATCAGGATGCGAGGTTCAGGGAACCCTCGCTGACAGCCTGGAATGAAGTCCCACCGTTTCCCTACTGCGCATGCGTGCACCAAACGAGGAGCACAGTCCCATCATCTGATAACGCGGTACAATATCAGAGGTGGGCAATGTCACTCCACGAGGGCCAGTGTCCCTGCAGGTTTTAGATGTGTCCTGGAACCAACACAGCTGATTTAAATAGCTAAATTAGCTCCTCAACATGTCCTGGAGTTCTCCAAAGGCCTGGTAACAACTAATCATGTGATTCAGGAGTGTTGAACCAAGGTGAGATCTAAAACCTGCAGGGACACCGGCCCTCGTGGACAGATTGCCCACGAAAACGGTGTTCTATTATAACACCGTTTTCACAGTTCAGAGGCAGATTTGACATAGTTTACATCTACCAGGTGTTACTAAACACACACTATGGATTGTACTCATTAGTAATTACTTTGTAAATATTTGTAATAAACTGAAAAGAATCAACACATTTCACAGGACAAAAGCAGTAAAAAAATTTATTCATTTTACAGCATTATTATACAGTAATTAGTTTATTAATCAGTTTTCACATGAATAATCCAGCATTTAATCGTAAAAGCCCATTCACACCAACTGTGCACACATCGTACTACAATATTGCATAAATGCATGAAATTACAAACAATAGCTTCATATTTCTTCTAAAACAATCTGTACACGGGTTCATCCTCCAGTGGAAAAGTCGTAATCCAGGCCAGGAAAATTAACCGATTCACAGCGGAAACAGATTCACAGGTAAACGGAGCTGCGGTCGGGTTTATTTAGACTTCCTTCGCTTGGCTTGGGTAGGGCTTGCAGCAGTTTCTGCAAAAATATGCAGGTCCATAAAAAAAATAAATACAAAATGTGCAGTGAGAGTTGGCATGCTTTAACATGATTTGAGTATTTCTATCACCTTTTACAGCAGTGCTTGATCCAGGCCTGGCTGATCTCTTTCTGATGCCACTATCAGCTACTGGCTCCTCCTCCACCTCTTTGTCCGCTCGGGAGCTGCGTCTGCTTGGCCCCTTGGGCTTCTCCACAGCAGCTCTGGGAGAACCAGACAGACAAACAAGGAAAAACAAGACACATTATTGAAAAGCCAGTTTTATTTAGTGTAATCCCAATCAGGACTCTGCTGTTTTTCCTCTTCTACCACAGATATTGATCAGTCTTCATCCTCCCAGCATCCACATCAATGTGAAAACTGCTTGTGTCTACACAATTAAGTTAAAATACATACCTTAGCTCTAAGCTGATGGGCGCCTTTCTTTTCTTTGCCCATCTGTGGTAGAAGTGGAAAAACAGCAGTGAACTATCAGCTGATCTGTACAAAAATAGTCTCCCTGCCTCAACATAAGGATATGTCCCAATGAAGAGACACGGTAATACCAATGGCTGGCAGAGGGAGAAAATTTGTCAAGTACTAATCAAACGTTTTGATGCTTGTAACCAATAACATACCAAAATATAAGGCAAACCTAATGTCTGAAATTGGGACGCTCAGACTACATGTGACCGACTAGACATCAGGCTTTTATAGCATCTTTCAGTGACTGTGATTAAAAACAATCTTTATCGGTCCTAGTTAAGATTATTTAATGCTTTTTCACTGGCAATTAAACAGAAAATTACGTGAAATCTTTTCTTTTTTGGTCATTTTGTGGTACTGTATTTGTAAAAACAAAGGCAAGAAGATCAGCAAACAAATGTAATAGTAAAATATAATTTATTCATCATACCCCAACAACTTCCCCTCTTGTTTATTTTGCCAAGGCTTTAATGTTTATTATCTTAAAGCTTCAAGAAAGGCCCATAGAAACTATTCCTAATCTAGTCAAAAACAGGAACAAAATGCGAACAGAGATCGTCTTCTGTAACTTTTATTTTTGTAACTTTAATAAACTTGCAAAAAAGAAATGAATAAGAACTGGTTTTCTTCACAGTATAAACTTGCACAACACCGAGGGCCACCTTAATTAACTCTCCGATATCCACAACAAACAAAGAAAACGTTTCTTTCTTCAATTATTCAAAGGTTGAATATTGAACAATTTAATAAAAAGCTACATTTTTAAACAATCGGTCGTTTACAGGTGTGCAGAATCAATGTGCATAATTTCCTTCAAAAGCTATATTTTAATTAAAAAATAGTTAAATATTAACTTTGACGGACACGCCGCTGGGATTATGTTTACATCTACCAGCCAATAGAAGGCACCGTTATGGGTTGCCAAACAGTCCGCTCGGCTCAACAAGGCTGCTACTGTTGAAAATGGCAGACTTGGCAAGTCAAGCAGCCGCTTCCGAGCCCAGATGACCCTATCCTTCTCAGAAGAGGAGCGACCATAAAAGATCTAAAACCAGAGTGAGTTTAGGTGACGCCTACAGCAGATGGACCCAAATAAAAAATGTCACGTATCGGCAGAGAACCTGGTATCCCCACAGCTGGAAACCTTGTTCTATTGTTGCAACTACAACCTCCACACACTAGATGTCACTTTGGTATCATGCTCCATATTTCACCTTTAAGTTTATTATTCAGCCCCCCCCCTTTTTTTTTTAAGTTTACTATGTTTTTCTTTTAAATGTAGTTCTAAAAAAATAGGAAAACTGTAGGGTTAAAAACCTAAGACAGCAACAAAAAAATATATATATATGTTTGTTATAAAGAATCTCACCCTTGCTCAGAACCTGCAGCCACATCTTCACCTAAAACACACACACACACACAGAGTGTTAATTATCTGGCATTTAGCAGCAAAATATTCAAATTATTTTGGGAAATCTGAAACAAAAACAACTATGGAATTGTTACTTCTCTTCTCAGTCGTGTCACGTTCCTGTGAAGCTTCTTGTTGAAGAGGTGCTGGAGGACAAAAGGTACAACTATGAAGAGAAAACTATCCTAACAACTCAATGCAAAAGAAACTACAACACACATTTGTATAGCTTTGTAAAAATTTGCAGGGTGTCAAGGAAATCCTTGCTCATCTGTCCTTGCTCTACTAAATTCACTACCTACAAAGGTTTTTCCACAACGCACATACAGATTTTTATTTACCAAGAAGTAGTTTTTGCACAGCAGTAATAAATAAATTGCATCATGGTACATGTGAGCAGGAGCATTACATAAAAGACTAGACACCAAAATGCACCCTTTGCTGTCTAAGTATGCATACCTGGAGTGGTCAGACAGGATTCAGAAGGTGCGGCAACTGGTGGAATGGAAAGCTCAACAACTGGGGGGTCAGATTGCACTGGTGGTACTCCACTGGGAGCTGGAGGGTGTGAGACTTTAGAGCCCTCAGCAGGTCCTGGTGCAGCAACAATTGGAACAACAGACGGTACTGGACTTTGTAAAGGAGTGACTGTCGTGAGGAAGGTACTGGAAGAGACTCCAGAGGTGGTACCTACTACAGTCACAACTGGAACTTGAGAACTGACTGCCTGAGGTAGGCTTGAGACTGAGGCAGGAGTACATAAAGAAGCCTGGCCAGCCAGCTTAACCAGGCTAGAAGTATGGGAGGAAACTACAGTCAGAGAACTGTTTGAGCCAACAGCCGTGGTATGGGGAGCTTGTGCTTCAGTCTGAAGAGCTGGATTAGCAGGAGGAATAAAGACCTGTGGTGGGAGAGCCCCAGTGTGTCCATGCAGCGGCCTTTCTACAGAGCTTTGCTGAGAATCACTTGTCCCAGACACAGGAGATGTCACGGGCTTACTCTTCCCATGGGGTGTTGGAGAGGGTGATACAGGGCTCTTTCGAATGGTGTTAACAGTCCCAGGACTAGAACATGGGGGTGGAGAAGTTAGAGGTGGCTGAAAGGAAGAACTCAAAGGGTTTGGATGGGAAGGAGGCTGACAAACAGCGAGAGCAGATTTCTGAGAACTTGTCTCACCTACATTTTCTGTTTTGATATTTCCTTGGTTGATTTGTTGAGAAGCAATGAGAGTACCAACAGGGACTGAAGAAGACAAACTAGAAGCTATGTGAACCTGTCCAACAGCACTCTTCATGGAGTGAGCACTTGTCATAATGGCCCCTGATGGCTGTGTGGAGGTTGGAGCAGGAGAAAGTTGGATGTTTGCTGCTGGCGCCTGAATAGCACCCATCATGGTGACAGACTGGGATACCACAGTTGTATTGGGAGGGACTGAAGAACCTGTGACCTGAAAAATTGGACTGATCAGTACAGGGGTGGTTGTAATAAACTGAGCAGGTCTCGTGCCAGAACTTTGCTGTCGGGTGTCCTGAGGTCTGATGTTTTTGTTAGGGACGCCCATCATAGAGGTGGGCACCTGTGACGTGGTCGCGGATGTAATGGGGTTTGAGGTGACAAGCACTCTGAACTGGCTGGGAGAAAGGTTGCTTGATGATGCAGGAATCTGTATAATAGGATGAACATTTGTTAACGGTTTAGGACTAGGGCTTGGTTTAAGAGCTGAACTGATTGGATTTACAGAAGAGTTGGAGCTAGAACTGGTACTAATAGCAGAAACTGAACTGTTCTGACCAGATGAGACTGTATTGATGTTAAAACCTAGAGTGGCATTAGTGTTGGTGCTGACTGAGCTGCAAGGAGAAGGTGTTGAATGTAAGTTTGGATTTAAATTGACACAAGTAGTACTTAAGTTGACATTAGTCAGAGGGTGTGAGCTGGGGACTGGAAGAGGGTACAAAGTAGAACTGCTTGTAGAAATGGGTACAGCAGGTCTGAGTTTAGCTTCAGTTTCATTTACAGTAGCTGTGGTGACAACAGATGACAGACTCTGTGAAGTACTGGAGACTGGTCTGTCTTGATCCAGAGAAGACTTAGAGGCGTCTTTTCCTATGGCAACAGTATTACTCAGCGTAGGCCCAAGTGCCATGTTCAATACACTCGTGTTATCCAGTAACTGGTTAAGTGATGTCGGAGCTTCTCTGAGAGCAGGTGAGACTTCAGTATTTTGTATAGAAGTCTGGTGAGTTGGACCCCGATCAACTGCACTCGCCTGTAGTTCTACATCAGGTTTAGGCTGCTGGGATGTCTGCAGACGATGACTTGTCATTCTGGAGGTCGATAAATCCCTGAATTGTTGTAACTGGGACTGAGGTTGGGGCGTTAGACGCTGCTCTGGGGTAATCATTCCCTGATTCTCCCTGACCCCATCAGCAGGATTACTGTGAATCCCATGGAGGGGGCTCTGAGTCTGTTGCATTTCCATTCCTCCACTAACTTGTGAAGGCATAGATACCGGACTCGGAGGTACCGAGGATGGGCTTAGCATCATTGTTTGCCCTTGAGGATTGACCAACTGCTGTTGGTGTGGAGGGCAATTTATTGTCATTTTGGCCCCCTTTTGTCTTCCAGGACTTGGAGTGGCTGACTTGCGACTAGAAGCTGGACTTGATCTACGGCTATTGCTAGGACTTGCCCTCTTACTTTGCCCCCCAGACTGTTTCTCTTGTTTAGCACCTAAAACTCCAACACCAGCTCCAGAAGCCTGCTGATTATTGGTGTTGTTTCCCCCTGCATTCCCATTGTTGTTGCTTGTTAGAGTTAACCCAGGAGGGGCTTGCCCAATGGCTTTCAGAGTTGTTGGGTTCAGACCTTGCTGGTCAAATCCTTTATTAAGGTTTGGCTGTCTTGGAGGAAGAGGAATGTTAATTTTGGGAGGAAACAGTCCAGCAATTGAAGCATTTAGCCTCTCAGGTGAAAGGTTAATTTCCGAGGGCTCAGTGCTGGGTGGACGATTAGATGGAGTGAGGGGATGGTGATATGGTCTGGGGCTGGCTCGGTTAGGGGTTTTAGGCCTTGAGCTCTGGGAGGTTGAAGGGACATTGGGGAAATGAAGGCCAGGCATGTGACCTCCTTGTTGAGGCTGAGTGGGTAATTGCTGCTGGGGACTAGCCCCAGTATGCTGGGGCATTTGTGTTTGACCAGAGCCTTGCTTCATCATAGGAGTGTTAGAACTCTGGCTGGACACAGCCTGTTGGATCCCATTTCCTGGCTGGGTCCCAATTTCCTGGGACCCACCAGGCCTGTCCTGTGTTGAGTGGGCCCCTGCTGGGCCCTCCTCGGGTCCAGTGCCTTGGGTGCTCTGCCCTACATCAGGATGGGACATTCTTCGTGCAGCACCTGCAAGCTGAAAAGGAGGAGAAAATATACATGCGCACAATAAGTATTGACTTTCAAAAGATAATAAATATTAGTGCATTTAGAAAATAATTTCTATCACGTAATTTTATTTTTTGTAATTTATCTCTACCTGTGGGTTAACCATCAGGGGAATCCCCCTTGCTTTGTCAGGTGATGGGGGTACACTTCCATGACCCTGAAGGCTGATCATTACAGGCATGTTGCTTTGCTGTGAAACAGGATGTCTTTGCATATCAGATGGATTGACCATGCCACGAGGAGGAAGCTGCCCTCCGGGAGGGATGGGCATGCGATTCTTTGACTGCTCTTGTTGAATTTTTAGCATCATCATCATCTGCTGCTGCTGTTGCTGCTGCTAGCACATGATGGAAAAAATATCAAGAATGGATTTAAAAGTTGTTGATGCCATGCCACCAAAACACACACACACACACACACACACACACACACACACACACACACACACACACACACACACACACACACACACACACACACACACACACACACACACACACACACAAAGTACCTGTTGTTGCAGGTGGGACTGCTGTGGTTGTTGCAACTGATGAGGATGCATCTGTGGCTGACCTTGACCTGAAGTTGGTGGCCCTGTCATGGATTGCTGCCCTTGAGCATTGTGGAGTACCTGCATCATATGTTGCTGTTGCTGTATTTGGTGTTGTTGTAATTGTTGTTGTTGCTGCTGCTGCTGTTGTTGTTGTTGTTGTTGTTGTATATGCTGCTGTTGCATGTGGTGGATTTGTTGTTGCTGTTGATGCTGCATTTGCTGTTGTTGTATATGCTGTTGTTGCATGTGCTGCATCTGTTGTTGTTGCTGCTGCTGCTGTTGTTGGTGAATGAATTGCATGGGTACTTGCTGCAGCACTCTTTGCTCCCCTGCCTGACCAGGAAAGCCTATTAAAGCACAATAATAGTAATATTAAGTTAACAATAATAATAACCATGACCATCAGCTTTGGTTTATACAGATGATGGAAAAATATTGTGTTATCTACCTGTTGGCCTGTTGGTAAAATCAGTGAGTTTCTGGCCTGAGTTTTCCGAACCCAAAGTCTGCTCCCCACCCAGGTTTGGCCCTTCAGAATCCTCCATGCCAGCAGCCCCTTCAAGACCACTAAGGAACAATACCACATATTAGGAAAAATTGATCAAAAATGCTTTAACCACCGTGTTAAAAATCAAAAATATTAAAATCATAACATATCCAAAACATTACCCAGGTCCCTCTATTTGCTGTTGTCCATCACTCTCCTTGGGTTTCTTCTTTCTTGCTGGCTTCTTCTTTTTAGGTTTGGCCTGATTGTCCCCACCAGCTCCTTGTTTTCCTCCTGGTCCAAACTGGCTTGCTGAGATGTCACTCTGCAGCAAATTGACCAGCAATGGGCTAGTCAGTGTCACATCTTTGCTAATGGGGAAGCCACCTGGCTGTCCACAAGGTCCTCCAATTGGCATCTGACCAGGGAATTGTTGGTTGAAATTCATACCATGACCTGCAAAGTGTCCATTTCCCATCTGCATGTGTTGAGGTCCCCCAAGCATACTTTGTTGCTGCTGCTGCTGTTGAGCCTGCATATCAGGGACCATTTGCTGCACACCTAATTCTCCTGCTCCACTATTTGGATCACCTATGACATGCGAGTGTTGCTGTGCTGCCTGTTGTTGCTGTTGTAACATGGCTTGTTGTTGTTTTTGTTGTTGCTGCTGAAACTGCTGCTGCTGCAACTGTTGTTGCTGAATAAGAGGATGACCAGCAGGGAGTCGCATCTGTTGCCCATGCATGTTCATAGGTTGATTGGGATTGCCAGAGACTGGAACCTGTTGTGGTTGTTGACCAAGTTGCTGCTGCTGCTGCTGTTGTTGCAGCTGATGCTGTTGTTGTAACTGCTGCTGCTGAAGTTGAGCAATTTGCTGCTGCTGAGGAGTCATCTGCTGTGGGACCTGTCCTTGAAACTGAGCCAAGTTAGCAGGAACATTTGGTGAAGGGCCCCGCATCATCTGACCAGGCATGACCCCAGGTGGAATCTTGCCTCCAAATGCCTGTTTGTTTGCTTGCATCTGGTTGGCAACCATTTGCTCCATCATGGAATTTTGTTGTTGTTGCTGCTGCTGATGCTGCAGAAGCATGGCATGGTGCCCTTGGCCTCCAACCATCTGACCCTGCCCATGCATCACCCCCTGGCCTTGCTGTGGCATCATCTGCTTAGGTGGGGTCATCCCTCCTCTCTGCCCTTGACTGATGGGCCTTGAAAGGACAGTCTGACCTCCACCCTGGCCTTGAACCATCTGGCTGGGGGACGAGGACACAGGCTGGACCTGATGCTGGAGGCCCATCATCTGAGGCTGGAGGCCAGGCTGCTGCTGGCCCATACTGGGTCCAGCTGTCGTAACGGGGGATGGACCTGCCATGCTACTTTGCACGGCCATAACATTGGGTTGGACATGGGGTGGTCCCTGCATTGAGATTGGTGTGGAGGCTGATGGCTGGGCTCCTGTTATATAATAGAATAAAATAATGAAAAATACATATTTCATTTCCATTTATAATCATTTGATATAATTTGTGACCAAACTGAACACTAGAATCTTGTGTCACTCAAGAAAAAGATTAAGCCAGAAGAATTACAAGTCAAGCTCATTTTAAGTCACAAGCTTGGTTCCTTCCAAGTAGAAGAAAAAAATCTGATATGGTTAAGGTGTTGTTTTGTCACAGTATTGTAACAGAATGTAATCAATAAATTTAAAAAATGATCACAGTGTTCTTATCTACCCCTAGGTCTAGCTGCAATAGTGATGTGCCTGAAAATATAATTAGACCAAAATACAAAGGAAAAGGAACTAATGGTTTAAAATACCTCCTAAACACAAATATTATGATTGTTTACCTGTGTGAGTCATTGGTTGGCTGCTCTGAAGCTGCTGAGGTGCTCCGCCAACAGGGGTTCCTGGAGTGCTGGCACTCACCTGACTCTGAACAAAGTTTGGAGTGGGAAAGCCCATCGGACGCTTTGCCATGCCTGCAATCAATGGTTACAGATTTTGCTAACGAAGAACATAAACTACAACATGTATCACTGCTCTAAAGCATCTGATGGTCATAATGATGCATAAAACATGGTAATCTGCACTTCCTCACCCGTATGAACTTGGGCCCCAGGCTGTCCATGCTGGGGCATTCCCATGAAACCTTGCTGCATGTTACCTTGTTGGCTGAGGGCTGCTCTGCCCGGTGAACCAACACCCTGGGGGAAACCCTGTGGAGTTGTAGGTCTTTGAGCCATTATGGGAGGTGTCCCTGGAGAGCCTTGCTGAAATGGAGAAGATGATGATCCAGGGGACTTTGCAGTGAGGTTGCCCTGCGGTCCAGTAGTTGATGGAAGAGGTGGTGGCGGTCTGGGTGGTCCGGTGACACCACCAGGTCCAGGCTGTTGGCCTTTAGGTTGGGGAGCAGCAAACTGACCCATCCCGGCCTGCTGCTGCTGTTGCAACTGTCCTTGACCTATGGCATTGAATAACTGCCCAGCTTGCTGACTGCCAAAGGGATATGGAGGTGGAGGGTGATTAGGGGTCTGAACTGTTGCTAGAGAGGGTGGACGCTGAACTATTTGACTTTGGGGTGGGAGTTTTCTCCAAGCAGGGCCTCCCTGGGCTGCTGGTGGCTGTAGCACACCAGAAGGCAACTGATTCCAACTAGGAGGTGCAGGCATTGGACCTGAAGGGTTGAAAGGAGCTCTTGGTCCAAGCTGGGCAAGCTGAGCCTGCTGCTGGGCCTGCTGCTGCTGTTGATGATGCTGTAACTGCTGGAGTGCAGCTGGGTTGAGCGGTCTTCTAGCCTGCAGAACCTGCATGTGTTGGGCAGCTTGGGAAGGCATGGGGCCAGGGCCAGGGGGAGCAACCTGCTGATGTTGAAGTTGTTGTTGTTGTTGCTGCTGCTGCTGCTGCTGCATGGACATGACTGGCATCATTGGATCCATCACATCTGAGAGTAAGGAAGATATAAATAAATTAAGCTATCTAATTAAAACCATTTAAATTTCCCCAAATTTTCATCCATTATAAATAATAATTTTTAAAAACCTGTTTGTGAAGGGTGCCTTTGCATTCGAGGATGGAGTTGTCCACTACTTCCAGGTAACATAGCCTGACCCACCATGCCAGGTCCAGGGGGAACCATTGATGGATTGGCCATCCTTACCACCCCTTGAAGATAAAGTTGTGTTGATTAGGTCACCATTTCATAAACAAGGAAAATAGTCAAGAAAATACAAAAAAAGAAAACACATGAAAAAAAATGTATATATATATATATATATATATATATATATATATATATATATATATATATATATATATATATACACACACACACACCATACACCTTTAGTTTCCTTTCAGAAACAACATTTTTTATGAGATACCATTTTACACCATACCATACTGCGAAATACTCCAGAGGTTATTTTGAAGAATGTAAAAAGGTATATGTTGCAATATGTCGCCGACTTGTTCATTCCATGTTTAGAAAACTTGGTGCTGTCCTTGAAATATATGGTGGTCATACAAAATACTAGATGTAATAGTTTTGGAGAGTGTATTCATTTTGCATCAACCAATTTTAGTAAAACAAAAGATTTAGTGATCCAAGTTATATTATTAACCTTAATGTCATGTTATGGCGTTAAACTAGTGTTCACTAAAACCGAGCCTTGTAAAAATTCTGGAAATTGTTTTTTTTTTTATCATTCAGCTACTGATTCAATTAGTACTTTTTAAAGGGGGTGTACTCATTTATGCTGAGAACTGTGTATATATAGCCTAAAATTATATCGCAATTTTTTTTTCTTCTGTTTATGTCAAAAGGAGAAATATAGAATACCATTTAAATAACATTTAATGTTCAAAACTAATTAAAAAAATACAAAATATCAAGTAATATTTATGTTAAACATTGTTAGAAACAATGCAACACAAAAATTCACATGAACCAAATAAAGATGAAGAAATTTTAAAATAAAATACAAGCTTACTGTGATGAAAGTTTGGAAACCTGCGTGTTAATAATATGTTAGAAGCTAATGGCATATAAGGGAATTAGCGTTAGCGTTAACAAGCGTTGATATGACTTCACTGTCGCCCAGAATATTTTACAGAGGATGTTTTTCTGCTCAGCATCAGACTCCTTAAACCTAAACCAGGCCAGTATAAATTATGTCTTCGTCTTCTCATCAACTTGCTCTGCGCTGAAGCTGCTGCTGCTTTCGACAGCATTCATGTGTGATCACGTTTGGACAGTAAAGCCAAAATCTCTACTAGTAGACTAGAGTACTGTTAATTTTTTTGTTAAACTTTTGGAAAAACTTACCTGGGCCAGGCTGACCTGGAAAGCCACCATCCATTCTCATCTGACCAGGTGCACCAATTGGTCCATTCACTCTGACTTCTTGTCCTCTGTTTGGTCCCACAGCCACATTAATTGCTCCCTCTCCTGAACACCAAGATTAAATCATTGCATAAATGAATTTTTATGAAGACAAAAGGAGGAGATCTGCATGAATTCTTTTTGGACTGAGCTATTACCTTCTATTTGCACAGAGAGAATACCCAGGTCTCTGAGCTGCTGCTGGTTGTTTTGGGCCAACAACCGGAGTCGCTCAGCAGCATCCCGGGGAATGTTGAATGTGACACGGACACTGTTCCACGGCTCAACATGTTTAGGCTGCAGCCGTTCTGGGCCTAAAATAAAGTGTATTTAGTTAGTGTTGGTTGGAAAATGCTTAACAGGTCAGTGCAAGATATATATTTTTGAATCAAATACACGTAAATGAGCTCAAATAAAACAAAGTAACAAAACAAATTGAATAAAAATAAACACAAACCCAAATTAAGAACATCAGGTATCCCATTGAGGATAGTTTCTAGTTTTTGAGTGAAGTTCTCATCATCCATGTTTCCTTGAAAGGCAACAAAGACTGTAAAGTCCTCCTCTCCATTTTCTCTAGTGTCTTCTTGCTCCATGGGTCCAACTTCTTCTGTTACGTTGCATTTCTCAGAGCTATCTGCGTCTTCTCCAGAATCTTCTCCAACACCAGAGTCTCTGTCCGATTCACCATCAGGCTCCATGTACGCAGTCTTCTGGGATGAGGAATGTTCAGCAGCTATCCTCCCTTCCTTGTTAGGAGTGGTGTCTAAACCGTTTTATGCTGTAATTACAGATTATTCAAACTTTAGATTACAGCATTTTCTTATCAAATACTATTATTCCATACTTTGCCTATCTCAAATGTATGTACTGCCCAGAAAAGTCTATGGTATTAATTAATTTAATAATTATTTGATAAATTATGCTTTTTCTATAAACTGTTTCAGCTTAAAGTAAAAAGCTGCTTACGCTATGGGTTCCCAATTTTCTACAATTTCGTAGAATGCATTTAAAATGGAAAGTTTTGGGAACATAACAGCTCATCTTAGAATATTTTTAATTTCCCATTAATATATTGAGACCTTCGACAGTTCTTAAAGAGCAAGTCACCCCCAAATCAACTTTTTTTTTGCTGATAAACTATATAAATGTGTGTCTAAATGTGCTGCAGACACGTGTAGTCAATAATTTGGTACTTCAGTGCATCTTAGTTAAAATTGAAATATTCTGCCTAAAACTGTCAATGTTGCGCCGTTGTCAGGTAAAAACTCTGCACTGCATTTGAATTTAAATCTGCCACCGCTATTGGCTAAGAGGTATGCTATGATGTAAACTGGTACATTATGATGTCACAGTGCCGTTGTGAGCCTGTGTGTGTGTGTGTATTTGTTAGTGGCTCCGCCCTCTCGGTCTGCTAGGCAACAGCATTTGTTGCATTTTTCAAACATGAAGAGGGAGTGAAATAAGTTTCTTGTAGGGGGTGACTTGCTCTTTAATTGTTTTAGAAACCCTGAACACAGCCAAGAAACAACAGTTATAGTAAGTTGCTAGAGGCTGAAGAGTATTCTATATAACATTCGATTCGAGTAAAACAAAGACAAGCAAAAAAAGTCATAATTTCTATTTGCAAACCAGAAAAAGAAGCAAATAAATGAGTTTGTAACTCAATGAAGCAGACACCTGGAGGTGACATCACTGACCGGTGATTAGCTTATTAAGCAGAGGTGCTCTGATTGGTAGTCACATTACTTTCAGAGTTGTGAGATTTCTTGATATGGGAGTTAAACTTGTTAGTAATAATATAATATATTTTTATAATGATGATCATCCTGGTTTCAGTCACCGGCGCTGCAGGAGTGTGGGCCTTAACGCAGTAAGCTAACATTCAAACAAAATCCACAAGTAAACTCTGTTTCTTACCAAATTGTGCATTTTCATCGTGGTGCAATTAACACTTACATTTCAAATGTATACGTTTTAGCAGCACACAGAAAGAGTGAAATTGAAAGTGGTTCCTATTGGTTTTCCGAAAAATCCTGTTAGCATCAGTTAGCTATGTAGCTAGATGTCAGTCTCCAGACGCGAATGAATCCAAGCAGCGAACCGTAGCTGGTTTAATTTGCCTTTCAACAGTTTTCGTTAATAAAAACAAGGAGAAAGGAATATACAAAGACCTTACCAAACATATCCATATACGAATACGTTCAACTAGTCGACATCTGTTTGCTAGACAGGCTAACAAAATAGGATGAATGTCATAAGCAAGCTAACTAACAAAGGTTGTTTCCGGTTTTCTTTTTCAAAATAAAAGCTCAAAAGGTAAACGCACTCCTTAGGTTAACAAGTTCATGACTATTTCCTAAATAGCCCTGAATAAACTGAGCTGTTTTATCTATTTTTCAAATTGTATTAAATGCAAGTATGATGACAAATTGCGGAACACTGCTTATGTGGGTATGTGCAAACATTTTTATTTCACAAATTTGAACAAAACCGATTTTTCCTTCAATCATAAACACAAAATAATCAAACATCAGGTGTGCAAATGTGTGCATTAACAGTACACAAGACAAGACTCTAAGATTAGAAACCTATTTGATCAATTTAGTGTGTGAGAAAAACGTGTTCGATTTTACTTCTATTATTCCGCTTAATTGCACCAAAAACACATGACACCCATCCCGAAGAGTTCCAGGCTGAATATAGATTTTAGGAATAAAAACATGTACAGTCAAACAGTGATGTAAAAATTGATTTTACATTAAACTGTTTTAATTCCCATTCAGAGAACAAGGGTGACCCTCTCTCAAATAATTCTAATGATTTTCAAGAAAAGCAGCAAATAAACCACTAAAACTATATTAAGAATGCAAAAAGAACAGTAACAATATAAGAAATACTTTAAAATCAATAAAACCATCTCAGTAAAAGTAGTAAACCAAGATGTGGAAATCACATTCCTGTTAAACATCTCTGTCTGGGTATGTTATCACCTAACATGTTCCCAAAAAGAAGGTAAAACTCCAGCAGCTGTGCAAGACAACATAATCACAGTTACATGCCACACTACAAGCAAGGGAAGGACAGTTAGACAAAGACAAAGCAAGTCTCTTCACTTGTCATCTAGCAACATCCTTGGTAATATTTGGAATAATTGACAAAAAACATTAAAAAATAAGTTGACTGTTAATGCATGTACTGCACACTATGCATTTTTTTGTACATTTTACATTATTGGTTTATGATTTCATTTATTGCTCAATAATTTACCTCTGAAATTCTGACTAAACAGTGATAGAGAAAATACTCTCAAACATTCCTCTCATAAGTTCAGCAATTACATTATTTCATTTGCAGCTAACTTTAGTGCCACTGCTGGGTGGGCTTTTACTTTGAAAACCTTGTACCGTGTGACTCGAGCAAACAGATGTGAGGTGAACTCACAGAAAGCTAAGTGGATTTTTATTTAAATGGCAGTTTGCTGTGAGATTTTGATGACTGTAGTAGTTTGATCATTTTTATTCCACCTTTTCTTCTTTCACTAGTATCCTACGAGTTTGATCCCTGCTGTAATGTGAGTGAATACTGGAAAAAGTGATGGATGCACTAAGGTGTGTTGGAAATGGTGAGGGCAGAAGCATCAGCACTACGTGGGTCCTTCACTCCAATGATGAGGTCATTGGTTCTCCGTGTGCCTTCCACCAACGAAAGGACACCCATCCTTTCAACTGTGTGTCCTTTGGCCTTCAGCAGCTTCACGTCATCTTCCAAAAACTCAGCTGTAGGGAAACCAAATGAAGAAAAAGGAAGTTGTCAATCTGCGATCAAGAAGCATTGCTTGATTTATCTGTTCGGATTCAAGAACATCCCATTTTCTCCCCTACAGTAGATTATCTGTCTTGTCGCTGCAACACTGACCGCTACTGGAGATCCTTCCTGCCAACAGCCATTGTAATATACAATAACTCTTTGATGACTTGATTATTATTATTATTATTATTATTATTATTATTATTATTATTATTATTATTATTATTATTATTATTATTATTCTGAGCTACTACAGCAATAAATTTCCCTCTGGGATTAATGAAGTATTTTTGAATTTGAATTTGAACTGTCAGATTACTAGTCACAGCAGACAGAGTGGAGTACAGCTGTGTGCCATGGTAGCAATGCTGTACATCGGCGCTTTAGTTTACTGTTAGTTTACTATTTTTCCCATGTCAATAAATTTGATAATAAAAAATAAAAAGATGTGTGTAGGTTGGCAACGTTCCTGTCCCTTTAAGAAGCTGTACCACCTTGACTCGCGTAAAAATGTGACAGCCCCATCTAGCGGACAACTTTTGTTTCTGCGCAAACCTGTAGTTATCATCCATTTATAGTTACTGAGGTGAAATCCTCAACATATCGTGATATTGATTTTAGGCCATATCACCCAGACCTGGTCAGACGGATCCAGGTTGAGGGATTTCCCTAACTTCCCCATCTAATACAACTAGAGTCCAAATGTGATCATTTTTGCATGAAAAAAATTGTTTTATTCAGTCAACATTTTCTGAAACAAACAGCATGTGTGCTGTTATGGAAAATGCAAGTTCGCACCTTGACTTAAATTTTCCATAGCAACACACGTGCCACGTAACGTTCAGGATCAAGCGCTTCCTGACCAAGTAGCAGAAACAGAATCGACCAATTCCACAGTGGATCAGAGTGAAGACCAGGAACAAGAAAGGGTGCAAACTTGCATTTTCCATCAGACTGTTGCTAAGTTAAGACTATTGCGGATGCTGAAAACATCCCACAGCTGATGAGATGAGTGTCAGCAGTTTTTAATCAATGGGTTTTCTCTAAATCATTTAGCTCATGCTGATTTCTTTTTGTTTTCCTTTAAAAGGACGGGTAGTCGCTGCGTCTTCAGTTTGAAGTGGATTGGGCATTAGATCGGTGAAATGGTGAGTCACAGCTTATTAGTAACTTTATACATTTGGACAAGGTAACATTAAAAATGTTCAATTGAGAATAAAGTGACAATATAAACCACATTCATGTAAACAAACTGAGTAGTGGTTAGATTTCATTCACCAGAAAGAGAAACATCGGATTTTTCACACTAAAATCCCTCTGACCGCACGAAAAACTACTTTTATTCACTTGACAAAATTATTTAATTTATGATTAAATAAATAGCTTAGAGCTTATAAATAGTTTTGCAGTGGAACTAAAACATTAAACATGAATCGTAAGGTTAGGTGAGAAAAACTCACCGTCCACCAGGAGGGTGTCGGGCTCCAGCTGTGGGTGGAGTCTCCCAGATGCTAAACTGTCATTCAAGTTTTTATGTGAGGAGAGGACATTCATCAGTACCTGAGGAGGATCCAAAAAGTTTATTTAACATTCCACAGTAAATAGATCAAATGTTATAAATACATTTTTCATAACTTTGACAGGAAAAGTGTGATGATTAAAAATAATCTCTATATCTATTAATTATGCTGGGAGGTAAATAAACCTGTGTGATGCCACTGAGAGCTTTCTCGCCGTTGGATGATCCAACTCCTACGTATGTGCCACAAAAGCCCACAGCTGGCCTCACAGCTGTGGGCATCAGGAAGGACATGGGGCGTTTCCCAGCCTGAGGAGTGTTGTGCTGCAGGAGAGAATAAAAATAATATGGGTACCACCACAATGAGCTAAAACAAAGCAAATGACTGAAGCAAAGATTAAGGCTTTGTTACTGGGTTAGCGGATGCATTCTTTGTTTTATTAGGCCAGGAGAAGTCCAGGATCTGGCTGTTCAAAAGAATTCCAGAAGGAGTCACTATCCCACTGCCAAACGGTTTGTTCAATGAGCTAAAACAAACAAAAGGGCAAACGTGGTATTTTAAAACATTTTATCTGCAAATCTATTAAAACAAGATGCAGCAAATTTAAAATACCTCACGACTGACACGATGTGATCGTCTGGACCCATGACCATGACCTGGGCAGCTGCTGACCCATCCTCCAAGGTAAAAGATGTAGTGTAATGGCTGACAGGGAATGTCTGAGAGTCACTGATCTTCTGGCGCAGCTGGGAAGCCTGTGATTTACTAGGAAATGGCGATACCAAAAGGCAAGTTTAGATGAATGAAACAGATCTATCCTACTTAATATGATAAAGAGCTGCTTATTGGAAAGTGGAGCGACATCCACCTCAGCATGTTGGCCACCGTCTCTGCGACTGATGGGTCATAAGTAGGGTCTCCCAGCCTACTAGCCAGGCCCAACGCTATCTTCACAGCCTGCCAGCATTTGGTAAAATGAATAAAGAGAGATGATTATGCCCACATTTATTTGTGTATAAGTTAAAACCCTTGTCTTGTTACCTCTGCAATCCAGTGGTAGGTGTCCTTTCTGGGCATCTGGCTGCTGATGTTGTAGCCTTCAAGGATGTTGAGTGCAGTGATCAACGCGATGCCTGCATGTGGAGCTGGAGCGGCCATAACATGATATCCTTAAACAAAAATGTATTTTTAAAAACAATGTAGGAGATTACAAATGACATTGAAGAAGGTTACAAAATTAGCTTTGGCATGCCATCGTTATCCAGACTAAATGCACCTAGAAGCTGGCCAAAAAGTAGGTTATAAATGCAAAAATATGCAAAACAAACAACCAAAACACAATCTACAGAAATGTCAGAAGACATGAATGAGTTTAATTAAACAACTTAAGAAGGAAATTAATTTAAATAAATACTTCAAACGGTTGTGATATGCATTTATTTAGCTAGCATAAGCTAAATGTATCCAGGTACGAGCCGTTTCCCAAACGCCAGAGCTATAGCTGTTGGGTAAAAATGTCCTGGAAGCCTGGGAGGTTAGATCCATGTGAAGCAGATGTTGATAATTACTGATCAGATACCCTGATAGGTGACTTCTGCAGGCTTCTGTAGGACGGTGCTGTAGTTTCCAAAGTCATCCTCTGTCAGAACACCGCCTCTTGCTTGCACCTGTAGAAAATTTGTAATTATTATGTTCAGATTGACCTATTTATGCCTCAGAAAACATTTTATCCTTGAAACAAGAAAACAGTATTAAGTCTGAGTAAATCATAACATTTCAGTAATACCCCTTAGGAACACGGTGCAACCAGTGTTAGCATAAAACACGTCATTACCTGTGGGCTACCATGATCCCTTCTCACACACCGTTTAGTGGCTTTGACAGGAAAACTAACCTGACAGCAGCTTAGAGCCAGAACAGTGTGTCCTTACAAACAGGAACTAAGCGTCATTGCTTTTATTCCTCTTCCTTATTTACGGGTGTGTCTACCGTCTCTGTGGATGTGCAGTATCAGTATTCCAGCACTTCATTTAGCTCCTGCAAGCTAAAAGCTATTTCTGCTGTCATTTTGATGTCCGTGCAGAGAGAGGAATCATCTTTTCTCTGCATCACAGCTGCATTTCTCTCAAGGACAAAGTCCACAACGGTTTTATTACTGTTGTAACGGAACGGAATGACTCCTATTTTTCCCTTCTTTGCTCAAGACTATTCTGTATGATAGTCTCAAGGTCTCATGTATTCCTTCTAACCTGCTTATTTCCAGCTCAGCAGAAGAACGAAGAATGAACTCTTTTCTTTGAATTAATCAAAGAACTCTATTTTAATAAAGCTAATCCATCAAAGTGTTAGTCAATAAATAAGATGTGACCGATCTGTGAAGTCAAAATATTAATTACCTTATTATGATCCTTTAGAATATAATAATTAATATGACTTGAAGGGTTCCAACAGGACTCATTTCACGTAGCGTTAAAAAGACGTAACACATTACTTTCACTGATCCAATCAGAATCTTACAGATCTGACGGAGGCGTGGTTCTGATGGTGTTTGCTAATTTTCATTCGACAATAAACCATAACATCCGAAGTATAAAACTATGCCACGTCAGCTCTAACGCCAGTTCAAAGCGTTCCAGAGAAAGTGACAGAGTGGCCAATCCTGATCTAAACTCTTTAACCAAAAAGAACGAACGACAAGCTGAAAAATCCAGTCGCTATTCCAACAGCAGCAACAGTTCCTTTCAGAACAAAAGCTCAACCATCCAGACGCCAATAACTTGTCGTGCACCCGCAAGTAACTCAAAGACGGGTCTGATCGGAACCGCGGCTTTTCCTACCGGCTCGTGGACCTCGATATTCCTGATCTACAGAGGACTTCCACGAAGGGTAGGTAGACCGACATGATGTTGTCTCATGTGTTTCTGAACCTCCTAAGCAAAGCTTAATGCGAAAACAACAACTTCAGTTCCCGTCAGAACAATCGCTTCTTCGGATTTGCTGGTTCTGATTTAACATCACACGTCACCCATCCACCGTCTCATCCATTTTAGTTACACCATACATTTAGTTTTGAAGTCAGTCTAGTTTAATTTGTTAGTAATAAAATTCTTAACTTTTAAACTTGACTCTCTCTCTTCTGTTGTCTCAGTGAACACGTAGCGGTTTTCTAATCCCTGCATTAAAAAGATCCAATCTTCTGGTTTAAATAACCCACTGACCCGTAAGGTGGATTTCATATTTCCTATGGAATCCCAAGCCTTATGGCTCATTAAATAACTGTAATCTATTTCATTACACTGTAAATAAAAGCTTCACACATCATTTCTGCTCATCCAACAGCTAGAGATTAGGGCAAGTACCTGATGATACGGTGTAAATCACAAATCAGGTAAGACGATACGATATATACTGCGATATTAAAAGCTAGACATTTTTATGCAATCCACCGACAAGAAAAAACCCCGCAAATAAACAAAATGTAATTTAAATGTTTCAAATTGTATTTAATCAAACAGTACTTCAAATTTGGAATACGATTCCTGCCTAAATAACAGAATAATGAATATATATTGTGTCTAACAATAATCCTGGCATTTATAACATATTCCAGTGATAACTGTTGACCCTCCCAAAAATATAACAGCTAAGCTAAAACTAGATTTTGTGTGTGCATGGTAGTAGTGACTCAGATTGGAGAGACTGTGCAGAATTCATGTCTACTTAATAAATTAGAGTAAAAAAAAACAGTTTTCCTTACAGCAGACACCATTTCCTGCACCAGATTCCCGCTGTAAAACTCGTTTATCCCTTTAGCTGCGACAGCGTCCAAAATGACAGCTAAGTCGTCACGCTGGGTGAAGAATCCAGGGAGAGGGGCCTGACCTTTAAGCAAAAACAATCCCCGAAAAGCCTCGGACATGTTTTGGTTCATGACTTCAGACAGAGCTTCAGCTGAGGAGAAACAGGGGAGGGGATCAGATGGAAGCAGCGTGGGAGAAAAGGCTGTGATAGTTTCACCATCATGGGTGAGATTAATAATGGAGACTTAGCCCAGTCCCAGACAAAATAATAATATATAATTACCTAAGTCATGAGTAACATTAAATCCATTTCTGGCCACATTGGCTGCCATGGAAACCACGTCCTTCCATGGTAACCTGGAGTAACAGAGATGGTGTGAATCTCTCTTGGTTAAAATGTAAAATAAAAGAAAAATTGTAAAAACTGAATTAATTTTCTACCATTTTTTACCAAAAACAAGTTATTCTAGTGCTGTAAACCGATCTCTGAACAACTAAGGCAGCTGGAACATGATAATAACACAGCATTTAAGTAATTATAGTCTAACGACAGGAACAACAACGTTTCCTCTGACAACCTGTGATACGTTCATGTTGGTTTCTCTTTCACATACTTTTAAAAATCTGGTTTAATTAGTGTGATTTTGCTTTTCTTCCCTTGAAAGATAGAAAAACAAGGAAAAATCTACTTAAAGGAATTTTGATTTAAAAGTGAGTGGCTAAATGAAGTTGAAAATGATACAAGGATATAGAATTACCAAATTCTTGGGCTGTAGCTGCATCTATTAGTAACACAGAGACAGATTATAGAGCATTATAAAAACGAGTACCTGCCATAAAGCTGCTGTGCCTGATGCATCCCACTGAGCATGCCTGGAACTCCCACCAGAAGGCCTGACTGAAACATCACGAATAAGAAGGAACAGTTTCACCACTGACTTGTAGCAACCTTTTATGAACAGACTAAAGATAAATAATCTTTACATTAAAGTCGAGGTTTGTGAGCAGCATGTCCTCATGGAGAGCAGACGGCGCCGTCTCTCTAAAGTCGATGACTCTCGTCTCATTCTTACGGATGTCATGCACCAGCATGACGCCACCGCTAAACAGCATCCAAGACAACTTTAAAACAAATCTGAGCTTTTTCAGCAGCTATGAACGTGTCCTCTTCACTCACCCCCCTATGCCGGATGTGTGAGGGTGGATGATTCCTAAACAGAGAGCAGCAGCGATGGCAGCATCGACGCTGGACCCCTGCTTCCCCAGAACATCAAAACCAAGAGACGTACACTGAGCCACATCTGTCACCACCGCACCCTGGTTGAAGATCTTAAGTACACACAGAAAAGAACTCCTTTATTATAAAACTAGTTTTGACATTATTTTTAAATAGAAGTTAAACTGTTTCATCATTTGCATTACCTGCGGATCACCAAAGTAGATCTGCATGATGAGAGCTACAGTGACACCTGTAGCGAAGGTGAGACAGGCTGTCATTATGACCGTCATTCCATCTCGCTGACAGGCGCAGTCCTCTTTGAAGGGGTCCATGTTGGTTTCCCTTAGGGACGCAACATCCTGGCTGGCCAAGTCTGAAGCTGAGGATGGGAGACGCTGGAGGCGAACGGACCTCAAAAACAGATCTGGGTCTAAGGATGTATGGGACAACAAACACAAAAATCGACTAATCCACAAACTTCACCCAATAATAAATTAAGACGTCACTAGCATCACCTGTATCCTGCTCACTGAGGACATTGTCTTCATCTCTTCGAGATTTCAGCACGTTTTCTGCAGACGTAGTGTCATCCTCTGGAAGTCTGGGGAAGCTGGTGATGCTCATGTAGTCCACTGGCGAATAGGCGCTTCCCAGGGTGGTCTCTGCATTCGCATCTTTGTCCACCACACTTCCACTCGGGTATCCCACCACGCTTTCCTGAGCAGGGTTGTGCATCCTGATCCTGCAGCAATCACACTGATGTTCAAATCCTTGTGATGCTGTGGCCCTGGCTGTTTATCTCAGCCTCCAGATCCTTTTATAGAACAATTCTCCTGCTGGGATTTGAGGTTTCATGCTTGGCTCCTCTGAGATCACTGCAGCGGTTTGGGAAATGCTCTAAAGGGGCCAGAGACGGATGTGTATCTCCGATGATGGAGCATTTTCATCCACCTGCAGAGGAGAACAGACCATTCACAGGCTACACTTGCTCTTAGGCTAGGAGAGCCCACACAGCCTAAAAGAAACCCTGACGCCTTGTTCCGTCTAACAACACATTGGTTTGTTATTGTTACAAACAAGAGAGTATTACGTTAACACCCAGAGAAACAAGCTGCTAATTTCCTGTTTACATTCACTGCGCTGCTACTAGCTAACGCACACGGACAATTAATCGGTTTTTAAAAGCTTAAATCCGTGACAGTGCAACTCACGGTTGTGACGTCCACGCCGTCGAACAAAATCACTCCCGTTCGGTGTTGTGGTGGTTTTAGAGAGAGCAGCAGAGATGAAGAGACGGAGAGACATCAGCGCCACGGCTCTCTGAAGTTAGCTTAAGATTCTCCCAAAGGGCTTCACGCATCAAGCGTATCAAGCAGCCCTTAGGACAACAGCTCAAATGTCACCACATTGTTGTAAAAACAAGTTTAAGTATATGTACACGTCAGCTTGATCTAGTTTGGTTCTTAATGTACGCATAACCCCAATGGCTGAATTAAACGTAAACCTACTTCATCTTGAAAAGCCAGAAAAAAATTCTGTTTAGTTTAAAATAAAAAAAAGGAAAACAATCTCTTTCTTTATTGTTACAATAACCAGTGAGAAAACAACCCCTCAAGGCATTTCTGTCTTTCTCTCCTCGTTTTCTAAGAAATGCTGAACTGGAAGAGGTGGATAAGCAGGTGTGGCAGGTGCAGAAACCAGGTCCTGCCCCTCCCCTTGAGCCTCGTTGTTTCATCCTACTGAAAGCTGGGGGAGACTTCAGATGTCTCAGGTGTTGAAGATTTACTCAGTTTTTCTCTTGAACATGATCAAATCCAAAGAATATGCAGTTGTTTTCCAGCTTATTAAGTTGTTATAGTTTTTATTATATTTTGCTGGCTTGCTCTGTAAACTAATCTAAAAGTTCAACACAGATTCTGCCACAGATAGTATTTACTCTTCGTTACCACACCCGTCTAGGCAGATTTACCGCTTCTCTTTGATAATTACACTAATCTTTCCACAAGTATTCACTGTGCTGTGTCAAAAACTTAAAGGCAGTTTGGGTACACCTTTGTTTCCAAAGATCCAGATTTTCATGTAATCTTTATCAGTCCTTCAGACATTTTTGTCCAGTTTTGTACTTGACTACAACATGTTTTGCATTTTATTCTCAAAAAAGAAAGCAAAAACAACAGGACTGAAAATAAATGAAAAAGCAGCCAAATTTCCCCAAAAAAACTTCTAATGGTCTGAATATCATAATAAACCCGGGCTCTTTGGATGAAAATGAGCAAAAAGTTAGTTAAAACTTTTATATTGGAGCAGGTGGAGGGAGACTAGGGGTTTTAGCACACCTCTGTTGTTGCTTGGCTTCCTGGGGCTGGAGGCTAGGAGGGAGATCTGGCCGTCTGGTTGGGGTCTGGGGTGGTGGGTTGTTGTGCTCAGTGTTGGGCGGGGGAGCCTGCTCATCAGCACCCCAGCAGAAAGGGTCAAACTCTGGTTACCGGTGATGGTTGTACCCAATGAGCAGCAGTACCGGGACCAGAGTGAATAGGGTGTGTATGGGGAGCATGAATGGGTGTCCGGTGTGCATTTTTTGTTAGTCTTGGGTTGTATGTGAATGTGTGAGCATGAGGGAGGGAGTGTGTGACTGTGTTTGTGTATGACTGTATATGTCAGGTGGGGCCTTTGACTCCTCCCCTCTCCTGGAACTTCTTTTGATGATATAGATCTTCGTCCCCCCTCCCCCTGCCACACCTGGTGTGAGGGGTTGTGCCTTGGTCTGCCTGAGTGTTCGTGGCAACCGGGTCTGGGGGTTTAAGATTTTGGCATCTGCCTGATCAATCCCGGTGATTGCCTGGTGGGGTCTGGGTCGCTGGGCTCTGCTGGGTCCCCGGCGGGGGTGGTCGCCCCTGGGTCCCGGGTCGCTGGGTCCCGGGCTCGGCCGGCTAGGGGGTGGGAGGCTGCGGGCGGGCCTGTGGGCTTGCCGCTGATGTTTCCCGGGACTGTGCCGGCTGCTGGTTGTGGCCCCCCGGGGCGATCCTCTGTGCCTCTCGAGTGGGGCGGGGGCCTTTCTGGTTGCAGTCTCCTTGGGGTTCCTGTGTTCTGGGGCAGAGCCTGGATCTCTGGGACTCGGAGCTCCCCCCGTCTCCTGCGCATCTTTAGGGGCGGATCTGTGGTCCCTCATGCTTTCTGTTGGACGCTCCTATAGATAAACCTTACATAAACAAGCGCGTGTACACACACAGGTGCTCACCTGGTGCTCTCATAAGTATGGGCTTAGGCATGTTCAACACAGGTCTTAAGACTATGGTGGGCACTTAATGCACTGTGATTTATTATCGTGATTCTTCAGTTAAGCAATGTTGATTATATATTTCTTCATCAAGTTGACGCAGTGATAGCTTGATCTTGTTGTATTGTTGTTGTGTCCCTTTTTTTGTTCTTTTGCTTTTTTTTGTCTTTTTCTGCAGGTTTAGAAGCAGACTCTTGCTCATTATTGTTCATTTTTGTGGAACCCCCCCTCTCCCCACCTTTTCTTTTCCTTTCTCTTTCACCTCTGTCTCAGAATTACAAAGCATTCAAAAACAATAACAATAAAGTTTTAAGTATCAGGTGTGACATTAAAAGCAGAAGCTTTGATGCTCCACCTGAGAGTAAATCTGCAAGGCTTGTTACCAGCATTCAGACATCATTTCTGTTTGCTTCACAGCCAGACAGGACACGGTAAAAAAAATAAAAAAAAAATTAAAAAAAACTTTTATACAGTGCTTTGGATAGAAGAGGGGTGTGACACAAGGAGGTAGTTTGGATTAAGCCCTCTAAAATATAGTAAAGTTCATAAAAAGTGATAATCTCATTATTAAAGAAATTTGTGTTAATGATGGATCTAAAATTTAGAAATGCAAAGTTTAAAAAAATCACAAAAATGTAAAGAAATGGTAGATTTTCTTTTTTTTTTTTTTTTACCATGTCCTGTCTGGCTGTGAAGCAAACAGCCATTCCTCCCCATCCCCGCATATTTTCTCCTCCTGCTCCCTCACATCACCACACAAACATGCACATAGGACCTTGGGGGGTGGACAAGTCAGGGAGTGCGGTATGGACTCCATTTCCGCATTCCTGTGGCAACCTGCCCCCCAATTTTATTTGCACCTTATACACTTCCACCGAAGACATTCCACGCAAACACACACTTAGGGCCTTGGGAGTGAGCACATTCAACGGCACTTGGCAGGGGGATTTCTCAGCCTCCTCCCGAGTGCCGGTGCCCACTTCCAATTTTAAACTGCACTTAGACACAGAGGTCTGTGGGTGCAAGTGGGGTGGTGCGGTGGCATCAGCTGGCATAGGTCGGACAATGCAAGCACTGCCCGCTCACCACAGCCATTGAATACACCTCATCAACACACAACACTATATTGGAGCAGGCGGAGGGAGACTAGGGGTCTTAGCACACCTCTGATGTTGCTTGGCTTCCTGGGGCTGGAGGCTAGGAGGGAGATTTGGCCGTCTGGTTGGGGTCTGGGGTGGTGGGTTGCTGTGCTCGGCATTGGTGCGGGGGAGCCTGCTCATCAGCACCCCAGCAGAAAGGGTCAAACTCTGGTTACCGGTGATGGCTGTACCCAATGTGCAGCAGTACCGGGACCAGAGTGAATAGGGTGTGTATGGGGAGCATGAGTGGGTGTCCGGCGTGCATTTTTTGTAAGTCTTGGGTTGTATGTGAATGTGTGAGCATGAGGGAAGGAGTGTGTGATTGTGTTTGTGTATGACTGTATATGTCAGGTGGGGCCTTTGACTCCTCCCCTCTCCTGGAACTTCTTTTGATGATATAGATCTTCGTCCCCCCTCCCCCTGCCACACCTGGTGTGAGGGGTTGTGCCTTGGTCTGCCAGAGTGTTCGTGGCAACCGGGTCAGGGGGTTTAAGATTTTGGCATCTGCCTGATCAATCCCGGTGGCTGCCTGGTGGGGTCTGGGTCCCTGGGCTCTGCTGGGTCCCCGGCGGGGGTGGTCGCCCCTGGGTCCGGGGTTGCTGGGTCCCGGGCTCGGCCGGCTAGGGGGTGGGAGGCTGCAGGCGGGCCTGTGGGCTTGCCGCTGATGTCTCCCGGGACTCTGCCGGCTGCTGGTTGTGGCCCCCAGGGGCGATCCTCTGTGCCTCTCGAGGGGGGCGGGGGCCTTTCTGGTTGCAGTCTCCTTGGTGTACCTGTGTTCTGGGGCAGCGCCTGGATCTCTGGGACTTGGAGCTCCCCCCCCCCCCCCCCCCCCCCCCCCCCGTCTCCTGCGCATCTTTAGGGGCGGATCTGTGGTCCCTCACGCTCTCTGTTGGACGCTCCTATAGATAAACCTTACATAAACAAGCGCGTGTACACACACAGGTGCTCACATGGTGCTCTCGAAAGTATGGGCTTGGGCATGTTCAACACAGGTCTTAAGACTATGGTGGGCACTTAATGCACTGTGATTTATTATCGTGATTCTTCAGTTAAGCAATGTTGATTATATATTTCTTCATCAAGTTGACGCAGTGATAGCTAGATCTTGTTGTATTGTTGTTGTGTCCCTTTTTTTTGTTTGTTCTTTTGCTTTTTTTGTCTTTTGCTGCAGGTCTAGAAGCAGACTCTTGTTCATTATTGTTTATTTTTGTGGAACCCCCCCCCCCCCCCCACACACACACACACACCTTTTCTTTTCCTTTCTCATTCACCTCTGTCTCCGTGTCTGGTCGGAATTACAAAGCATTCAAAAACAATAACAATAAAGTTTTAAGTATCAGGTGTGACATTAAAAGCAGACGCTTTTGATGCTCCACCTGAGGGTAAATCTGTAAGTCTTGTTACCAGCATTCAGACATCAATTCTGTTAGCTTCACAGCCAGACAGGACACGGTAAAAAAAAAAAAAAAAAAAACTTTTATACAGTGCTTTGGATAGAAGAAGGGTGTGACACAAGGAGGTAGTTTGGATTAAGCCCTCTAAAATATAGTAAAGTTCATAAAAAGTGATAATCTCATTATTAAAGAAAATTGTGTTAAAATTTAAAAATGCAAAGTTTAAAAAAATCACAAAAATGTAAAGAAATGGTAGATTTTCTTTTTTTTTTTTTTACCATGTCCTGTCTGGCTGTGAAGCAAACAGCCATTCCTCCCCATCCCCGCATATTTTTCTCCTCCTGCTCCCTCACATCAACACACAAACATGCACATAGGACCTTGGGGGGTGGACAAGTCAGGGAGTGCGGTATGGACTCCATTTCCGCATTCCTGTGGCAACCTGCCCCCCAATTTTATTTGCACCTTATACACTTCCACCGAAGACATTCCACGCAAACACACACTTAGGGCCTTGGGAGTGAGCACATTCAACGGCACTTGGCAGGGGGATTTCTCAGCCTCCTCCCGAGTGCCGGTGTCCACTTCCAATTTTAAACTGCACTTAGACACAGAGGTCTGTGGGTGCAAGTGGGGTGGTGCGGTGGCATCAGCTGGCATAGGCCGGACAATGCCCGCACTGCCCGCTCACCACAGCCATTGAATACACCTCATCAACACACAACACTATATTGGAGCAGGCGGAGGGAGACTAGGGGTCTTAGCACACCTCAGTTGTTGCTTGGCTTCCTGGGGCTGGAGGCTAGGAGGG